TGCTGGCAGGGCATACTGCCAGGTCATTAATAACTTTATGCTGTAATATTGAGAGATGCTAGAATTCATGTTCTATAGGATCTTATAGCAAACTGCTGAAGTGATTTGAGTCCATTATTGCATGGAGACAGGCGAAAGTAGTCTTCCAGTTCTGTCTCGGTTTGTTTTTAACTAATTAATACACGAAATTTAGGTCATAAATGTTCTCTGATGCCTTTCAGGAATAAGAATATACTGACAATCTCCACATATTAAAGATGCCTAGTCCTTCGTGACCAGTAAGTACTGTATTGAATTAATTTAATCTGAGTGCCTGGGACTTGGATGGGGAGGAAGGAAACAACTCGTTACTGTACCTTCCTTACCCAAGGTTGCAGACTGAAACTCATTCTCATACAAGGCAAGGTGTTTGCACCTGTATAATCAGCTCTGTCTCCATGAGATAGAATACAAATGAGAGAATGATTAATGGTGAGCAGAGGGCCAGGAGAGATTTGACAGAATGAGGATTAAGAATTTGATATGTAGCAAAGTAGATTTCTGTACATAGAAAGAATGAGCAAATGGGAAAGAATGTCAGAGCACCTTAAATGACAGTTTAGGATTTTATTTTATTTTTAGGATTTTTATCTATTTATGTAGATAATAGAAGTAGCGGGCAGCAAAAATACCTAAATAAATCTGACTGTTGGCATGCTTAAGATTACAGGCTTTGCCGGGGCTAATAGCAGTGCTTCAAAGCATCTGGAACATCATTTATAAATGGTGTGAGATAGGGGGTCCGACGTGCTCCTGAGGGGTAGTTACCCTATGCCATTTGTTAAATAGCCATCACTTTCACTTTCTTAATTGGGTTTCTCAAGGTGTTATCCAATTTTGTTGACATTTTCAAGTAACAGCATTGGTATTTATATTTCCTATTTTTTATTTTCATTTTATGTCAGTTTTAAAAACATTTTTAATGAATTTTAACTTAAAATCTTTAATTTGCACACTTCTCTAGTTTTGCTATTTTCCTAATTTCTTAATTAAAGCTCATACTGGGTTTCATTATTTTTAGTCTTGCTTAACAATAAAGACATTTAAAGTTATATATTTTACCAATTGTAGCTTTAACTGCACCCTACACACATTGGCATGAAAAAGTCTCATTTTCATGAATTTCTAGATTGCAATTTGCTTTTTTTAAAAAAGAATTATGCTTCCTTTATTTTTTATTCATGGTGTTTCTGGGTCTTTGTTGCTGTGCAGGCTTTTTTTCTAGTTGTGGAACGCAGGGGCTACTCTTTAGTTGTGGCTGTGGATTTCTGTTTTCAGCAGCTTCTATTGTGGCGTGCAGACCCTAGGGCACGCAGGCTTCACTCAATGAGGCACATGGGCTCAGCAGTGTGGTTCCCAGGCTCCAGAACACAGGCTTAATAGTTGTGGTGCATGGGCTGAGTTGCTCCATCTTTCCAACCCAAGGATCAAACCCACGTCTCTTGCATTGGCAGGTGGGTTCTTTACATTGAGCCACCAGAGAATCCCTGTAATTTGCTTTTATTTTCTCTTTGGTTCAAGGGAGACTGTGCAGTTTTCCAGTAACTAAGAGTTTGTTTGGCACTGTAAAATTGTTTCCTCCTAATTTTATTGGATTATGACCTGAGAATATGGCCTAGATAAACATCTACCGTTTGTCATTGTATATGCATGCATGTGTGCTCCGTCATGCTGATTCTTTGCAACCTCCTAAGACTGCAGCCTGCCAGTCTCCTCTGTCCGTGGAATTTTCTAGGCAAGACTACTGGAGTGGGTTGCCATTTCCTACTCCAGGATATCTTTCCCATTCATGGATCAACCCCGCATCTCTTGCACTGGCAGGCGAATTCTTTACCACTGAGCCACCTGGGAAGCCCATGTCAGTGTTAAGTATCAAGCTTAATTCACCTGAAATTAATCTAAGAGGATGGAACTAGAACTGATTAGCAATATTCCCTGAGCTCCTCCAGGTTTGAGCATGTTGGTTCATTACCTTGATACCCATGTCAAGGGCAATTCAGCTGAGCACAATTCTTTCTTTCCAACATCACTCTTTTCTAACATGAGGGCATTTTTTTTGGTTTTTGGATTTTTGTTTGCATCTTAAAGTGCAGTATTTTCATTCCTTTATTTTATTTTATTTTTTTTTGTATGCCAGGATTTAGTCAATAAACAAACTTGCCAAAAGACACATCTAGGTCCCTATTCCCTGAGTTTAATATTGACTGTGCCTGCCTATTACCTTGTAGTTGAATGGTGACTAATCTATTATCTTCTAATTAATTTTCCTTCTGCATTCATTGTGGTTCTGCAGCCATTAAGCAAAACCTCTCTTAAGAAGAGGATTTTCATCCGTTTCTCTCCAATTCTTTAATGTGGTTTCTGCTTTATCCTGTAATTGTCTTCATTGGGTTTCCAATTTGTTTCTGAATCTTTTTTTCCCTGTTGATCACTCTTTGTTTTCAAGGATTACATTTCCCTTTCTAATGGAATCTTCAGGCATCAGTATATATAAAACTTGGTTTGCTTTCTTATGTTAAGTATCATGCCATTTCATCTTATGTATAATAAACTTCTTCCAGACAAACTTGCCCTGCTAAATGGAGGATGAACTCTCCTGAGTCTCTCCCCCACCTTATCTGAAGCTGCTTCCTGTTCATCCCTGCTTGATGTTACTGCTCATCCCCTCTTCTTTTATCTGAGTGTGGGAAGGGGCAAGGGTTACCCCCACAGTGCCCCTGGGGAGAGCCTTGTACTATCTTTGTTTAAAGATCTGGCCTCTCCCACCTCTTTTGAGGATTTGTTAATGGCTATCCTGGGATTCACTTCCCCTGGACTCTTACCCTAGTCCCAGGTTGTTGTTGTCCAGTTGCTCAGTTGTGTCTGACTCTCTGTGACCCCACAAACTGCAGCTTGGCAGGCTTCCCTATCCTTCACTGTCTCCTAGGGCTTGCTCAGACTCATGTCCATTGAGTCGGTGATGCCATCCAACCATCTCATCCTCTGTTGCCCGCTTCTCCTCCTGCCTTCAATCTTTCCCAGCATCAGGGTCTTTTCCAATGAGTGGACTCTGAGCATCAGGTGGTCAAAGTATTGGAACTTAATAATCCCATAAGGGCTTCAGAAAACAAAGTCTGGCTGATTCTGCCTGCCCCATCACCCACGTTTACATGTCCAATTATAGATGTTTCCAACCTCAAGGTTTATTCCTTAACTTTGCTCAAGACCGCCTTCCTCTTTTTTTCTACAAAATAGAGAACTCTTATCACAATTCTCAAGACTGTATTAATCTCAAAGTCAACCTTCTTCCCTATTATCACTTATTTTTTCCTAGCTACCATTTTTCAAAGTTAATGACAGCTTTTAGTCCTTTCATTTATTTTAGTTGCTGAATTATTTTCTACTTTTCCTTTTTTCTTCCCCCTCCTAAAGCTATTGAGGGAGAGAAATTCTAATATCAGCTTGGAAGTCCTAGACTACCCACTACTTTGATGTTTTGTCAGTTTTTAATGTTTTAAACATTCTATGAAAACACTGCAATGCACATGCATGGGTTTTAAAATAAAACCTGGGCTTAACCTTTGCTCTCACTAGCTCTGAGACTTTGGGCCAGTTTTATGACTATTTTAATGCTGAGTTTTCCTGTCTCTAAAATATGGCTAAATAAAGCTATCTTGTATTCTTATATAAGGGGCTTCCCAAGTGGCTCAGTGGTATAGAATCTGCCTGCCAATAAAGGAGATGCAGGTTCAATCCGTGGGTCAGGAAGATCCCCTAGAGAAGGGAATGGCTACCTACTCCAGTATTCTTGCTTGAGAAACCACATGGACAGAGGAGTCTGGCAGGTTACAGTTCATGAGGTCACAGAGTTGGACACAACTTAGCACACATTCTTATATAAAGCCAACACTTGGTGCATAAGTGTTCAAAACATGTTCACTGAATTACAGTTCTATTTTATCACTAGGATGAGGAACCAATTAGGCCAAATGTGAAAATCGGAATCAGAGACTGGGCAATAGAAATGGAAAAGGATTCTGGGACCTTTGGAAGAGAGAGGACAGCATCTGACAGTAATCCTATGTGGGGAGAAGTCAATTGAAAAAGGTCTTGCTTGAATGAAACAGGAACAGGAGAGATGGACTCGATGCAGAATGAACAATGAAATTATTAAGAGCTTTCAAAGTGTTAATTTTTTAATTAAAATTTAATTTATTGAACATGTCTTTTTCATGGACATAATTTTTATACCAAATGTCAATAAAAACCAAACCAAACATTAACATATTAAATACTACAAAGATGTGAAAATTCAGGAGGGTATGCCTAAAACTCAAATTTTAGGAATTAGAAGTAATTTGAGGGGCATCATAAATTATGAACCAAGTTCAAGAGATACATTACTGTATTACCGTGTCGCCTTTCTCAACAGGAAGTCTGCCAGGACCCAACACAATGGGCGTGCCCCCTGAGCCAAGGGCCACGGCCTCCACTATATTCCGGCTGTCGGTGTAACCTGGGGTGAATGGTTGAGCCAGCATCGAGAAAGGTATCCTGATGCTCCGTGAGCAGTCCCTCTGTGGTGACATTTACACACTGGAGGAAAGGGGGCATCAGTGCCCTCAACTTTTAGGGTCGACAATGAAACCAGAAAGAAGTGAAGGAGTTATCGATGAGCATAACCAGCTTTTCATTGTCCTCGGAATTGTATTTACAACTTGCTTAACGGCAACCCACTCCAGTACTCTTGCCTAAAAAGTCCCATAGACGGAGGAGCCTGGTGCAGGCTACTGTCCATGGGGTCGCAAAGAGTCGGACATGACTAAGCAACTTCACTTTCTTTCTTTCAGTAGTCTGCTCTCTAACATACCTGTATTTTATTTCCTTCTGGATAAGTCATTTAAAGTGACTTTTCACATGAGGGGAAAGGTAGTAGAAAACTTCACCTGAAATCCTCTTCCAGAAAGGATAAACAAGGCTGATTGAACTAGAATCATTTTATTGATGGTCTAAGTTTAAAACTGTTTCAAATGTGTATGTTTTCATACATTGTGTTCTTAAGAGTTTTTCAGGTGATGATTATTTAAAAAAATATTATTGACTTAAATCTCACAAGATTGAAGTAAATCTGTGTATATCATATCCACTTCATAAGAAGAATAAACAGAAATGCTGGCTTGCCTGAGAAACTATAGTAATTCAGAAGCTCTCTCTCCTAGACCTTATTTTTAAAGCACAGCTATAACAGCTATATCAAGATTTTATGGGAGTTTCATTCTGTTACTCCATGTTAATGAACAGATGTTCCAGTCATGGTTTATCTGCCATGGTTCATGGAAAACAGGAAAAAAAAAAAAAAAAAGAACCAAACATACCTATGCCTCTACCCTGTGATCCCATTAGCTAGTATATTGCTGACAGCTAACCAGCACATTCTCTGCAGCAGGATAAGTCAAGTCACTTGTTAGGTCATTGCATAATTAAACAATTAGATGTTGTTAGGGTTTATGGATGACCCCAGTCTACCTTCAGATGCTGTACTTGTTTTTGACTAACTATCCCATTCTACAAATGGTCATCATTTTCAAAATGGCTAACATAAGCTTAACATGACTTAGCAATTCCACTCCTAGTATATACCCAAGAGGATGTAAAACATCTCCACAAAAACACTTGTCCATGAATGTTCACAGCATTATTCATAATCGTCCCAACATAGAAAGGACCTAAATGTCCACCAACTGATGAATGGGTAAACAAATGTGGCACATCCAAGCAACAGAATATTATTTGCCGTAAAAAACAACGAAGTACTACATATATGCATGTTATATCATGGATGAGAGTTAAAAACATTATGCTCAAAGAAAGAAGCTAGGGGCTCCCCCAGTAGTCCAGTGGCTAAGACACTGTGCTCTCATTGCAGGGGGCCCAGGTTCGATCCCTGATAAGGGAACTAGATCCCACGTGTCTCAACTGAAGATGCTACATACCACAACTAAAACAAATAAACAAGTGTTAAAAAAAAAAAGAAAGAAGCTAGACATAGACAGCCACATAAGATTCCATTCCATTCCATTGTAAGATTCCATTTATAGGAAATGTCCATAATAGACAAATCCAGAGAGACCAAAAGATTAGTGTTTATCAGGGGTTGGGGGGACAGCAGAGGAAGACTGGTTGCTGGTGAGTATGGGGTTATTTGGGGGGATGATGAATTATATAGTGCAATTATATAGTGGTCATGGTTGTACAACTCTGTAAACTACACTAAAAATCCATGAGCTGTACATTTAAAACAGTGAATTTTATAGTATGTGAATTATTTTTCAATTATTTTTCAAAAAGTCATCAATATGATTTCCTATTTCTCACATGCTGGAGACAATTAATACCACTTCCAAATGAGCAGGAAGGAAAGGTATACTTTATTTTGCTAAAATGAATCTGAGAGTCTTGATACTAACTATTGCTAATATGTGTATTGGCTTAGACTAGTTTTATTTCACACTCTGATCAATAATGGATTTATTCTTCTTATCTGAGAAAAATTAAAAGTATAGGGAGCTACAGTCTGGAAGGAATTATTATAGGCTAGAACTCTCTGAAAAAGAAAAATACTTGTTCTCAGCAATATGAAAATAAAAACTTACCAGGAACTGACCCATGGATGACAAGAGGTATAACAAAGCCAACACGTTAGACAAAGGCTTACACTGACAAGGTTTTAAAAGTTTACAGCACATGGAAACCCAGACCCAAAACAGAGTCTTGAAGGTTCTAGTTCCTTCTCTCTCCATAGGTTCCCTTGAGAGGCATTTCTGTGCTAAGCTGGGGAGGGCTCTCCCTGCAGAAGTCATCCGTGCTGCTCCCAGCATGCGCCGGGGATGGCCACAGACGGCAGAAGTCACAGGACTCTGTAGCCAGAGCAGCTTGCTCCCTATCACCAGGGACAATGCTGCACAAAATAAGCTGGCACACAGGACGTTTTTGTTGGTTTTTTTTTTAACTCAAAACCTTCAGGTCTAGCCCTCCCTTCATTCTTGATTGCCACTTTTGTTTGTGTTTTACAGAACAGTAGTCTGTTGCCTGCGACGTACTCCAAGCCACCTGGATGCCACAATGATTATGTCTGCATGATTTCGTAGAGCTTAAAAAAGAGAACAGCACGTTTCTTGCACTGTGGTCACTTATGAAAAGGGAAGAAGACAGCTGTCAGTTTTCCAGGTCTTTGGCTAAAGCGTCACGGATGAACTGTAAGGTGCGCTGGTACAAAAAAGCATCCTTTTTCTTTGGCTTACAAATGTTTAGATGGTTAACATCCACAGGAATTAGATCTCCAAGGCCTAAATCTAAAGAAAACAGAAATGTCAATAAAGTCTAGGGTAAAAATATAAGCTGCCCCCTGTCAACAGGGAAAGAGACCAGGTGGGTAGATGTAAATGTCAAGTTGGTTGTGACAGCGATCTCTAAAAGGTAAAGGAACTTAAAGTTTGACTCTAGCTAAACTGTATGTGCCTAATCATGAGAGGACAGAGCCTCAGGAGGTGCCATTATAATTCTATGCTTTTCTCATAAATTCTGCATGTGTGTGCATTGCCTACTTCCTGATCTGATAGTGAACTGTGCCTGAGCACTGTCTTCTTCAAAACCTTTATACACTGCAGGCTATTACTAAGGTATCCCACACTTGTATGAACCACTTCTTTTTCTAGAGTTAATATGAGAAACTCAATAGTGAGCTCCCTTGCCCTGATGAAAAGAATGGGAACGTCTCACACAGAATCCTTTCTATACCCAGGCCCTCCATGCTCACTACCAGGGAAGGAGATGACATGGTGCTTGGGAGACCTGGGTGAGTTTTTGATGTTTCAGCCTAGCTAAGCCCACCGAGATGGCAGCGCCAGGGGGTACTAGTGAGGCCAGCCTGGTGAGCAAGTGCAGGTGGAGGCTATGAAGGAAGACAGGCAGCTGGTGACACAGAAGAAGGGGTGGACAGAATTACAGCAAGGCTATGTCACTGCCAGCAGCTGGTCCACCATACTAATTCTGCTTTAAGCTTCCAAAGTCATCATAAAAGACCAAAAAAAAAAAAAAAAAAAAAGTCACTGTTCTTTGAACTCTTCAGGTTCTTCAAATACAAACAGCAACCCTTCACCTCATGGCATATTACTTTAAGGTAAAGTCTGTTCAACCTGTAGGGTTCAACCACTACAGGGTATCAAGCCTTTTTCATTTTACTTAGGTAATAACTAACGCAGCAGGACAGAAGGCCCATCGGCAGGCGCTCCGGATACGCTCCACGTCTGACTGCCCGGAGCCCCCAGTGCCACCTGACTCAGCCTCTGAGGGGATCAGAAAAGAGTCTGATGAGCAAACTCAAGAGTTAGCCGGATGAGGGGAAAGCATTTCAGGGCGTGGAGCGTCCACGCTGCTTACTATGCACAGAGGAACAGAGGAGGCTGCCAGGAGAACTGAGATTTGAGCCCTGCCCGCAAGGAGCCTACACTGGCTACAGGAGCAGGTACTGGCCATGTCCCTCATCCCAGAGCAGGAAGAGATTTAACACAGTTTTTTTCCTTCCAAATCTTTGTTGCTTGAATATTCCCCATGTACCTTCCATTTATTTACCAAGCACCCATACCTTTAGTAGATTTAAAGGTTCCTGCAGGTGGTTATCAGTCTGGTAAATGAAATACTCCTTTTAATTGGGCTGATAGAAAAGTTCTGGATTCTTACCTGAAGGCAGCAGCTTTCGGTGTGGAAGCTAACATAGCGTTAGCCAGTTAACCCGTTCTGTCTCATCAGTTAAATCAAAGGGGGCTGGGAAATGCCAAGGTTAAATGTTTGCCAAGAAATTTTAATCTGTGGCTTAACAGAGTAACAGAATCTAAATCTTCATAAAGCTGTCTTCTAAAACTGAGAAACTTAATCTAAAAGCTGACGTTTATGATGACCACCTACCAGGAATCTAAGGTCAAACAAGTTTCAAAAGAGTGAATACCTGCCGATTCCAGGGGCACCACGTGGAGTTTAATCATGCTACCAATGTAGGTCGGTAGTGTTTCTACAAAACTCAGCACCTGGAAGTTTTTGTCTTTTGCAAACTCCAGAAAGTCATCCTGTAGTGTTTTAAGGGCGGGAGAATCTGTAGAATTATAGAGAACGAGAACGTGACAAGTCCTGTGTATCTAGTTCATAATAAAATGCAGCAACCTTGCCAATTTGGGGAGGAAATTAGGGTTCGGATTCAAGATAGTGCTTATTTTCTCTACTTCCTAAGAAGCCATGAAGACAAGAGTAAAGGGCTAAAACCAGCCGAGAACTGAGGAGCCGGCTGCAGCGGCAGCAGTCTCTCACGTTACCGGCTGACAGGTGGTAGTGCCCAGGGCAGTGTGGCATGTAGGACGGAGGGTCCCGCAGTGTGCTGGCCCCGCCCACGTGCATCCTGAAGCACCTCTCACCAGCAGAGCCTGTGTGCAATCACAGAGCACCTGGCCCTGCCTGCCCCCATCCTCGGATATCAAAGGGCACCCAAGAGGCGCCAGGTCTCAGAGGAAAGCCTGCCACCGGACAGAGACCCGTTGAGCCAAGAGAAAACCTGAGCACAGGAGACAGTTAAAAAAAACTGGTATCTTGGGATGATTTCAAAAGAAAATGGATCACAGAAGAAAGAGCTGCTGGAAAATAAAATCTGACTGCAAAAAATAAAATAAAATTCACCAGAAGGTTTCAAGGTAAAGGCCAATAACTCTCCATAAAGCAGAAAAAAGAACATCTGAGCAAAAGGACAATGGCATATTAAGGCTCAATCCAGGTGTCCCAAAATTCTGATTAGCAGGTGTTCCAGAGAGAGAGAAGATGCTCATTAACCCAAAATAAATATAGTGCTTTATAGTTAATATGGTGAATATCTTTAAAGCTCATGTATATTTTAATAGTTGATTTTCCAAACCTGTGGGAAAAAACAGCTCATTGGTAATTTGGAATAATACTTAAAGCAGAACATTATGTATCTTTAAAAACTGTAAATATTTAAGATAGTATTAAAATTGTTTTATTTCTTGAGAAAATAATGTGTGCTAAAAAAAAATGTGCTAAGTTGCTTTAGTGATATCTGACTCTTTGAGACCCTAATGATCACAGCCCTTTAGGCTCCTATGTCCATGAGATTCTTCAGGCAAGACACTGGAGTGGGTTGTCATTTCCTTCTCTAGGGGATCTTTCCGATCCAGGGATCGAACCCGTGGTTCTTATGTCTCCTGCATTGGCAGGTGGGTTCTTTACTACTAGCACCACCCGAGAAAATAATGGCTAAGAAGAAAAAGGGACAGTATCAAAGAAAAATTAACCCCAAACTAAAAGTTTTCCATGATAGTCTAAACACAACTAATATAGAAACAGTCAAATGAGGTAATACGGTCAAGTTAGAAACTGTCTTCCTCCTTCTCCTGTATACCTGGTGTTAATACAATGCCAATTTCCTTTTGAAAGAAAGAAATTACCTTTGCTGAGTTCTTTGACTTCCAAAGAGGGAAAGAGAAGATAGCGAATATTAACAGAGTATTCAGCCAGATGGGATCCATGATGAGGAACGCTATAAAAAATTATTCCTCTGGTATTGTTTATAATAGTACTCATTTCCGGCTTCTTTGAGGCTTCCAACAGCATCTTTTTGACAAGAAGACCTAGTCATAGAGAAGGAAAAGAAAAAATGTGTAAGCTAGTTTCCTTTGCTTCATTGTTTCTTTAAAAAAGGCAAACAAGAATACAGAAAGAGATGCTTTCTTTAAAAAAGTTGAAACAATCATTCTCTGTAGTCCAACAAGCAAGGCCTTAAAATATTAACACTCAGTCATGCTCCTAAGCCTCTAAAATATGTAGCACAAGGCTGCACACAGGTGAGATTCTAGAAACTGTTTGTAAGGCAGCTCTTACTTCACAGGATGCCCTCTCCCAGAGAAGAAGGTCGGGCATTGCACATTGCGTGTCCATCAAGGAGGTGAGTACGCATGGCCAGCCTCCTGCCCCACTAACCACCACTCCATTAAGACAGTACTAATATTAAAAAACACAGACTCTCGTATCCTGGAGAAAACAAAGCTGCTGTGGGAGAAGGCACGTAGGAATGCACCTTCTCTTCTGTCCCCCAACCTGGGCTTGCAGCTGACAGGGAAACCCAAGGTAACATGGATGGTAACAGGGGGCTCAGGATACAAAGTGTTAGGTCCACCTTTCTGCCCAAAGCCCAGGCGCAGAGCCAGTAACCCTGAGCATTTCATCAGATAAACTAGGCCAGGAGAGGCACAAAGGCCCTCTGCAAGGTGGATGGTGAAAATTTAGAACTGGATTGGAGGAGAGGGTTGGAAGAAACAGGAGATGTAGCTAGCCAGCGAGCATGAGGGCCAAAGAGCTGAGCCCTGCGATCACACTGCCATCGCGGGCTCCGGCCAGGGGAAAGCAGGCCTGAAGGGGGCTGGGGCTGTGGGCACCACAGCAATGACGGACTCTCAATGATGGCTGAGAAGCAGGGAAGAAATGGGGGGTCCTGGGACCAGCTGTGTGTGCTGAGCGATATTTACAAGTCGGGCTTATACATGTCATGGACAGCTTCTGATATTTACTCATTATCACGCTTAATGCCTCATGAAAGCATTAAGTGGGAAACTCATTTGCTTCTTTTTATTTTCTCATTTTCTTTTTATATGATCTGTTACTAGTCATCCCTTTCTAAAAAATAAAGCATGGAAGGAGAGTAGTCATTTTAAACCTCCAAGCTATCACCAGAAACATTAATTCAGGGGAAAAGGGGCTACCATTACATAGCCGCAGAAACTTGCTTAGCTCGATGGCTGACAACTCACAGTGCTGGCTTGGCAACAGTGGAACACACTTACCTCCCATGCTGTGTGACACCCATATCACTGGCCTGTCCCCAACACCAGCAGCTCTGAGCTTCCTCAGAAGTTCGTTGCTTCTGAAAGCGATGGACTTTCTGACAAAATGAGGACAGCAGGTATGACAGGATGCTGTCGCTCTCCTCCACCCCCAAATTTTGCTCTCCACTTTTTAAAGCAAGATCCTTTGTTTACTGGACCAATTCTACAGGCTATGTTTCAGAGTCAGGCATACCTCCATTCTCTCAGGTTGATTTCTGCAGTTGCTTATTCCCCATTTCTAACTTAGTCACACTGGCATAAGTGGAAATATCTACTAAACAAGCACTGTCTAGGCATCTAACATGTATCTGGCAATTTTCAGGGATCAAACTGCACCCACCCCGCCCCCGCTTTAGACTGTGTGACCCCCTCTCGCTATGTGGCCTCACTGGAGACCACACAGTCCAGTGCAAGTTCACCTATGGAGTCAGCTCTCATTGCTATTTAATTCTACTTGTATTTATGTTACAAACACTAAGTTTCCATCATTTTGGTTATATTCCTTAGAAACAGCACAAAGCTAATCAGAATCAAAGCATTCAAAAACATATTTTCAAACTAGAAGGGAACTTTAAAGCTGTCTGGTCTAGTAGTTTTAAACTGTGTATCTGGAGAATCCTTTCTTTAAGTAAAGGTTTATGAGCACTCGTCTGAATTAAGTGGGGAGGGAGCCCTGTGGACTTGCCCACTGACCCCTAGGCACCATTCCTCCAGAACCTGGGTGGAGATCATTCAGAGATAACAGTTTGAGAACACTGATCAGACCAACTCCCTCCATTTGCAGATCAAACTTCCCAGACCAGTGAAATGACCTAAAGTGGCTGGTGAGTCAAAGGCAGAAGTGTCTACAGTCTGGCTCCTGAAGCCTGGAAGTCGCGTGCTGTCGCCTGTACCTACAGTTGGCACATACAACGTACAAGTGCCTACACGGCCCGGCACCTCTCTCGGCTGCCTTTACGTGGTGTGCTCGGGAACACAAAAGCCAAAAGCTTCGTGTTTACTTCCAGGAGTTAAGGAGACTGTGCTCCGAATCCGTGGTCCTTACTCAGTTCAGTTCAGTCACTCAGTCGTGTCTGACTCTTTGCGACCCCATGGACTGCAGCACGCCAGGCTTCCTTGTCCATTACCAACTCCTGGAGCCTGCTCAAACTCATGTCCATTGAGTCAGTGATGCCATCCAACCATCTCATCCTCTGTCGTCCCCTTCTCTTCCCACCTTCAATCTTTCCCAGGATCAGAGTCTTTTCCAATGAGTCAGTTCTTCGCATCAGGTGGCCAAAGTACTGGAGTTTCAGCTTCAGCATCAGTCCTTCCAATGAATATTCAGGACTGATTTCCTTTAGGATGGACTGGTTGGATCTCCTTGCAGTCCAAGGGACTCTCAAGAGTGGTCCTTACTATGAGAAGAGTTTTAAGTGAACTATGTTAGGAACCCAACTGTAATACTCTAAGCCTTTGGTAGTTTCATTACTTATAGCTAACTCTCTCTAGAAGGAAGAGGGAAAAGGTAAGAAGAAAATCCTGGCTGTGACATCAAAGCCAAATTCCCCTCCCTCCAGAGGGCCACCTGTGGCCCGGCCCCTTCCCCTCCGTTACCTTTCTGTAGGGCACCTGGCTCTCCAGTCGCTTAGGCTGGTGTCATACTCCACAGATATTATTCGGAGAGCAGGACAGTCTCTTGCTAACCACGACTATGTAAAATAAAAGGTGCAAAAGGAAAAATACTAATTTCCACTGGCCCACTTACTTCTTAGCAACTGAAATTTGTAACTAAAGGACCCTTGTAATATTGACAGCTAGTAAAAGATTGCATTGGAGTCAAGTGTAAAGGTGATCAGAAAAATAATTGCAGCATTTTATCTTTATATCACTGCTCACAAGGTGATATCAGTATTTACAGCATAAGGTCTATGTAGGTGTTAAGAGTATGCTCAATTTTAATCTGCTATAGACAAAAGCAGGGCCTGTTTTTGGAGTCTAGATCAAATTGGATTTTTAAAAGCATTTAATAGAAAGCTATGATCTCAGGACAGACGGAACAGAGTGACGGAGGTTAAGAGATCTGATCTGAGAACTCAGAAATACTGATTAGAGTCACGGTTCTGTCTCCATGAACCCAAGTTTTATCATCGTCTCCATGTTTCAGTGTCACCAGAGAGAGGGTGCCAACTATTCTTTCTGCTAATAAGCCCTTGTGAAGGTGAATAAGCAGCAGTGGGACGAAGCCCCAGAAACTATACATATTTACAGCATCAGTTTTCACTGAGCTTTAGGTAAATTTCATTCAGTAAATTCATCACAGCATTTAGGCTCTTTAGCAAAAATAATGTCAAAGAAATCCAAAGCAGAATTACTTCTTCAGTCTTTCTATTATTATAATTATTTAAATCATAGAACTAGTCAACTTTCATTAATATATTATTTACTGAATTATACTTTTAGCACGAGTGAACTATTACTGGCTCTTACCCCTGTTTTTTTTTTCACTTAATACACTTTGTGTCATAGAATGGACCCAACATTATACAACAGAGTGACAAGCCCAGCTGTTCATGTAACATACTGTAGGTATCTCTAAGGGAAAGAAAAACGGCATGGAAAAACATCCCAGTAGAAGGAGAAAAACAAGCAAGTCACAATGAGGACCCAAAGTCTGGTGGCACAGCGGTTTCTCAGGATACGGGTGGCCCGCCAGAGGCAGCCGCTTCCTCACCTTGGGCCAACACGTTGTATATTTGGTTTCATCTTCTGAGACCTTTTCAGTTAAATCCTGATCATTGTCCTGCTGGCGCCACGTTTTGAATGCTGCTCCCATCAGGCCATGAATAAAAAGGACATCTGCTTTAATGGGCTGACTAATAGGCGGGAGAGAGTTTTGAAAAGAAGCAGAAAAAAATGCGTTATCAAAGTATTTGATAGGAATTTACACAGCATTCTCTTTGGATGCTGCTTAGCAGGTTTATATGACATCAAATCAGCTTTAATTAAGACAAGCTTTATAAGCACAGGTTGGCTGAGGAACCCTAAAAGAGTTTTGGCAAAGACATGGCACATGCTCACTGCTGTCTCTATATAAGGATGGAGACACAGCTGGCCAGGCAGACCAACCAAAATCAACTGCAGTGCACTTAGAGATCAATGAAGTGACATGTCATAGATTACCCTCCAGAGAATTCCATGAGAATATTACACAAATCAATAAAAATATCTAAGACATTAAATAATACGCTAATGTAGTTTCAAACTCAGTGTGCATGAAAGAGATTATTTTTATCAAGGAAAGTGATGTTTACCAGAAACAGAGCAAATGAGATTTTAAAGTAACTTTATTCTCTCTTTGTATATGACATTTTAAAAATTATAATAACATATTACTTGCAAGCTATTTATAATACACACACAATTATGCCACACATATAAAATACATTACCATATTACATTATTTACAAATGAGAATTAACCAGGCCATCTATTTTTCAAGTTGAAAAGAAGTTCCTGCTATTTTCTGAGGTATTATTTTTAAAGTGCCTGACAAAAATCCAAGATATGTGTAATTTTTTTGTTGTGGTCCTTTTTATATTTATTGTCTTAGCAATGATACAGCTGGAAATAGTGACCAGAAATAACATTAGGAAGGAGCATGAGTCAAATGCATTATTACAGCTCATTTTGTCAGGTACAGGCCTTTATACTTCGCCTAAGCTTTCTCCAGTCCCTTGAGTTCTAGGCCCAGGCTCATTTGGTGCCTGCATATAACAATGTCCTAGTACCTTTTCATCCAGATCAGCCTCTACAACCCTAATCAGTCAATAACTTACATCTACATGAAAAAGTGTAATGTAACAAAAATGAAATAGGCATCACAAAGTTTAAGTGAGACACGTTATAAAAGGTGAATGCAGTCTTCCTAAAGGTAAACCCTTGGTAAAAACAACCCTGGTAACGTAGCTGGTTCCCATTCTTTGGTGATTGCAGACTGTTGGGTAAATGAGGTATCTGACGTATTTGTACGCGATGGGTCTAAAGCGTGCAGAAGGCAGTTAGGCCGTGAAGCTCTCCAGGCCCCTCGTCCCCTGTGGACGGAGCGGCGCTGGGCCCTTACCTGGTGCGGTACTGCGGATGCAGCACGTACACGCCGTCCTGGTACTTGTCTGGCACAGTCTCTCGGTCTAGGTTAGCCAGTGTTCTGGCGGCATGGGAGGCCTCCATGATGTGCTGAGACTTGATTGCTTCCGCCAGTATGGAAACCCAGCCTGGTGAAGAGAACATACTCCCTAAATACCAGCCCCCATCGCTCTCAGGCTGTTGAGAGGTTTCAGGCTGAAAAGGATGGGAGGGGGGCAAACCTCTGCATCAGTCTGCCAGGAAAAGCCTGACCACCCAATTCCATTCTTCCCCAAGGCCCTCTGGGTCCCACAACACAACGCCATGATGTCCCCAGCCATTTCTTTTCGTTTAGAAAATGTAACAAAAGTTGTAATTACTAGGGATGAGGTCATAAATGGTAAGAAAAGGTCCTATTTTGCTTTAGCAATGATTATTAAACTCAGTGAGTTAATACTAGTTATTTCATTCTGATTGGCAGTCAGATTAGCAGGCCTTAATATCCATGAGGAAGTTGTTTCTTAATTATGAACTTGTTAAGACCTGAGGTTCAGAGGGAAAAAAAAATATTTTTTAAATTGAAGTATAGTTGATTTACAGAGGTTGTGTTAATTTCTGTGGTACAGCAAAGTAACCCAGTTATACCTATATCTATATATTCTTTTTTATATTCTCTTCCTTTATTGTTTTTTTTTTCTTCCTTTATTGTTTATTTCAGGATACTGAGTATAGTTCCCTATGCAATACAGTAGGACCTTGTTTTTTATTCATTCTCTATATAACACTTTGGAAAAACTTTCTTAAAGGGAGACAAAGAAATACTTTCTGCAGTACCATTGCATTTCTTTTTGATGTTTTTGTTGTTTAAAAGTGTACTGCTTTATGTACATAAATATGTGTGAAAGTTTATGCATGCATGCACACATCACACACAGAAAGATCTAGAAAGAAGACCAAACTAACAAATAGTCACTACCTTTTAGGAGGGGAGGCAGTTGGGATTGGGGTGGGCTCTGTATAAAGGTGGGTTTAATTTTTTACTGTATCTGTGTTCTCTGAAGTATTTACAAGGAGAGTCTGTTCATGTATTATTTAATTTAAAATAAAACAAAACATGGGCTTTGAGGTCAAAGAGACTTGGGCATCAAATTTCTGTGCTACTTGCTATGGAGCCTCAGTCAAGTTACTTTGCTCCTTTGACCCAAAGGAAGGTTCTAATAAATTAATCTATATAAAAACTGCCATTACCAAGCCCAGCAGGTGCTCAATAGACAGCAGCTTGTCCTCATGTCCTCCTCCCACTTTCTGTGGCAAGGTGTTGAGAATCACTGTGATGATAGGAGGCCATTGTTTAATAATCCAGAAGAAATTTCAGACCCAACAATTGTCTAACAATATTCTAATTTTAAAGAAAACCCCTCTTCAAAATCTGTTGTAGAATGCGTTATAATAAATAATGTTTTAAAATTCTACCTAGAGAGATATACAAGTTTGTTACTGGTATGTACAAAAATATGGCTTCATTTTTAATGGAGTCACAAGAAAGGTGACACAAGAGAAAGCATTTTTCAGTTGACAAAGTATTTTAACAATGCCTGAGATGTTTCACCTTTGTAAACCATCAAATGCTCCTTGGAACACTTGTGTCTTTCTTAAATATTTACTGTTTTTTAATTACATAACCCTTGAATATATTTTAATTGTAAAAATAAACAAAAACAGCATTTAAAAATGAACATCCCACTTTAGCATTCCCATCATTTCCCAATTCCCATTTATAGCCTCAGAAAAGTCTGATAGATACCCTTCCAAACCTTTCTAAAAATTCAACTACATACCTATAATTTATACATATATACTGTAGCTCCATATACTTTTATTTTTGCTAAATGGAATTATACTGTTCCTACTGTCCAGTGACTTGATTTTATACTTTAGCCATGTACACAGATCAAATACCAATAATGAAACTGAATCACTAATAATAGTAATAATAATAAACTCCCAACAAACAAAAGTCCAGGACAAGATGGCTTCACAGGTGAATTCTACCTAACATTTAGAGAAGAGTTAACACCTATCCTTCTCAATCTAGTCCAAAAAATTGCAGAGAAGGGAATGCTTCTGAACTCATGCTATGATACCAGCATCACCCTAATACCAAAACCAGACAAATATATCACAAAAAAATAAAATCACAGACCATTATCACTGATGAACATAGAAGCAAAAATTCTCAATGAAGCGTCAGTAAGCTGAATTCAATGTACATTATAAGAATCATACACCATGACTAAGTGTGATTTACCCTAGAGGTGCAAAGATGGTTCTACACCTGCAAATCCATCAGGGTGACACAGCACATTAACAAATCAAAAACTGAATTACTATTGTATACCTGAAACTTATGTAACATTATACATCAACTATACCTCCATAAAAGTACATTAAAAAACAGAAAGGGAAAGCACAGAGAAGAAAAATTTTGGAAAGATATGGACAGAGCCTCAGTGACCTGTGGAACAGAATCAAGAGGTCTAATATACAGAATTGAGGTTTCAGGAGAAAAGAGAGAAAAAGGAACAGAAAAAAAATCTAATGATACACTTATCTATAAAGTTTCCAATTTTGATCAAAACATCAACTCACAGATACAGTCAGCTCAGTGAACACCAAGTAAAATAAGTGTAAAAATAAACTAGATACTTCACAGTCAAACTGCTGAAAATCTTAAAAGAAGGCAGAGGAAAAAAAGACACATTTCCTATAAGAGAACAAACGGACCTAAGAGACTTCTCATCAGGCTACACACACACACACACCAGCATGGTGACAGGAGCCTGCTCTTGGTGTCTTGGAAACATGCCCCCAAATTGCTCCTTTGTTATCAATAAAAGATTGATGTTCCAAAAAAAAGGAGAATAGAGTGATATTTTTTAAGTGCTGACAGGAAAAAAAAAACACTACATTATCAATAAAGTATTTTTTATCCATGGAAAATAACCTATCCCTGGATAATAAAAGTCAAGATATTTTCAGAAAATGAAAGGTGAGCAAATTTATTGCCACCAGACTCAGGTCTTTAGGTTGAAGGGAAATGATATCAGATGCAAATTTAGATAGAAAGGAAGGTAGAGTGCTGGATATAATATGTAAGTAAAATTTTTTTTCTTATATTCTTTAAATATCACTTGACTATTAAAAGAAAAATAACCACAATATATTGTGACGTCTATGGCCTGTAACATATTATAGTCTATAATTATGACAGTACCACAAATGATGGCAAAGGGCATAGAGTAAATTATATTGTTGTGAGACACTCGCATTATATATGAAATGGTGTAATATGAATTCAGAATAGACTGTTATAAGTTAAAGATACAATCAAAAAGTACACATTAAATACTGTAAAAAAGCTGAAAGAGGAGAAAGAATAGAATATGAAACAATACTCAAGTAACCCCAATATAGTCAATAAAGGAGAAAAAAGCAAACAAAAACCAGAAAGGGGGCAAACTGCAAGACAAAAGACAAAACCAAATAGTATCAGTCATTGTATTAGAGGCAAACAGAGTAGACACTCCAATGAAAGGGGATTATCAAGCTGAACTTTCTAAAGACGATGCAAGTATGTGATGTCTATGAAAGATGTACTTGTTTTTAGGCACAGCAAAATGAAAGCAAAAGAGAAAAACACAAAAGACATGCAATGCAAACAGCAAGCATTAAGAAAAGCCAGTTGGCTATTTTAATACCTGATAAAGTAGACTCCAAGAAAAGGAGTATTACCAGTGATAGAGAAACTACTTAATAAAAAAAGGAACAATTCGCCAGGAAGAAAAATCTGACAGAACTAGAGGGAGAAACAGACAAATTTACAATCACAGTTGAAGAATTTAACTTGTCTTGGTAATTGATAAAAACTAAACAAAAGATCTGGAGAAGATTTGAATAATATAATCAACCAACGTGGTTTACCTGTTCCATATTGATATAAAACACTTCACCCAAGTACAGAACATTCATTCCTTTCAAGCACAAATAGATCATTCACCAAGATAGACCATAAAACAGGCCATCACATAAGTGTCAAATTACCAAAGACTAAAATTTTACAGGGTATGCTCTTTGAATGCCTAGAATATTAAACTAGAAATCAGAGACATATGGTATCTGCTGCTGCTGCTAAGTCGCTTCAGTCGTGTCCGACTCTGTGCGACCCCACAGACGGCAGCCCACCAGGCTCCCCTGTCCCTAGGATTCTCCAGGCAAGAACACTGGAGTGGGTTGCCATTTGAAGCCATTAATCTTTGTAAATTATTCCAACACACTTTTAAGTAACCCATGAGACAAAGAAGAAATCATAAGGGGAATTAGAAAATATTTCAAACTGAATAATGATGAAAACACATACAAAATTTGAGGGATGCAGCTAAAGCAGGTTGGAGGACATTTACAGCTCTAAATACCTATATTAGAAAATAACTGTAACAATTTTAAAACATGTTTTCAAATTCTTTTGACACTGTTCTCATCAAGAGGGGATGGGTCTAAAACTCTTTTAAATCCCCTCCCCTCAAATATGAATTAGCCTTAGTGACTAGCTTTTAATCAATAAATTTGGCAAAAATTACTTTCAGTGCTTGATTTTTTTGTAAAAGGCAAAAGAGCTTATTATACCTGGCTCTTTCTCGGAAAATTTACTCTTGGAATCCAGCCACCATGCTTTAAGGAAGCCCAAGGTTGGTGTTGAAGGAAGCTAATGCCCCTAGCCCTGGCTAAGCTCCCAGCCGAGAGCCTGTACCAATTTACAAGTCGTGTGAGTGAGCAATCTTCAAAGTGTAACCTCCATCCCATGGTTGAGCTGCCCAGCTGATGAAGCACAGAGCCCATAAAGCCCCTCCCTACTGAATCTTGCTTGAATTTCAGATTCATGCACAAAATATATGACTGCTGTTTTAACCAGTGAGTTTGGGGTGGTTTGATACACATCAATAGATAACTGAAACAAGAAAAAAGGTAAAAATCACTGATCTAAGTTCCCACCTTAAAAGAAAAAAAAAAGAGGAACAAATAAAATCAATACAGTGAGTGGTTCTTTATAGGAAAGTCTGTGATCCCTGAATCAGACTTCATTCAGTAAGTTAAAAACTTCTGCTTATCAAGACACTCTTAAAGATACATTTTAAAAGAAATGGAGAGAGATACAAGAAAAAATATAATATAAATTCATCATCTCTACTAAACATTGTTGAACACATGCATGCATATGTGCACATGTGTATGTATACATTTATTTGTACATATCACCCTGCTTTTTCCACTGAAAGAGCAAAGACACCCCAGGAGCAATAAGCACATCTAGCTAGCACCCAACCCTGGTCTCTTAACAACCAGCCTCCATTAAAGAAAAACAGGATTCTCTGAAGAAATGAGCCTGGAACATGGTGTTACACCAGCACATAAGGAATGCCTCCCAAAATGAAGTCGGTACATCAGAGAACACAGGAGCCAGCTGGCTGGGCTCCACTGACCAAAGCTGGGATGGTCTGGCGTCAAATGACAAAGCACAGTGGTAAGTTGTAAACCATCCAAAATTAGGAATCCATGTACCCATACTGAGGGAGGGAGGGAGGGAGGGAGAAGGAAGGAAGGCAGGAGGCAGAGAAGGAAGGGCTCTTGCTTACGGCAGAATGCCAAATGCTGAACAGTGAATGAGGCAGGGATGCTGCAGCTGGAAAACCACCATCGTGCAGGCATCATGACAGAGATTAGAGCAGGCGGGAAATGTCATCCACAGCATCTCCCCACAGGTGGTTTACTAGTTACAAGGCAGGGATATCGCCTCTATTTAGTCTTCCTGTGTCTCTTGGTTACCCAGGTCATATCAAAGATGGTCATCATGGCCGAAACTGCTCTCCTGTGACTATCTACTCACTGATTAGCTTAGGTGTGGATTATCCACATGTCTCAAGCAATTCTTTGCCCCTACTGAAATGACATGCTCTAAGGACCCGAAACTAACCCTAAGCAAAGCCTTATGTCTGTTGAGAAATTAGCGTACCACGACGGAGGGGTAGAGGTGGGAGAACAGAGGGCTGGATTCCAAATACTCAGTATGTAAAGTTGTTACCTGAGCGAACTATAGTAGAATGAAGATGTTCATTCAAAGCCATATTTCCAAGGATACGCATTATATCTCTCTGTACTTTAGGACAGTCCTTGTGAAGTTGGTACAGCCTCTGCAGTAGTTGCAAGCCTCCATTTGCTTCAATTTTATCACAATGTGTGGGTATCTAGCACAATAAATTAATGAAAGCTCACTTTATGTTGCACAAGTTCACTAACCAGGTGACAGAGCATGCTGCTGGGCAGCCAGGTGGCTCCTGCTCAAGGAAGAGACCCAGGGAGACCCCCCAAACTCTCAGCCCAGCTCAATAAATCGGCCAATCCCCATCTGTTGTGGGAAGTGCTTTAAAAAGCACTGAAAAATAAAGGCCACTGGGACTTGTGACGTTTTTATTCTTAAAAGTCATTCTGTTTAGCTCTTGGCTGGATGGAACCATGATGTCATTATTTCAGAATCGTTTCAATATATATGGATACTTTGATTGGTTTCAAACTACATTAAAGGGTCTTCTCCCCTTGAGAAACCTGCCACCTGATACCAGGAAATAATCCCCTGGGTTAAGTGGCAGATGTTGCTTCTGCCTATATGAACTCCCAGATATAGAAAAGCAACATCTGTGACCCCACACAAGCCCACAGCTGGGGTTGGTGGGGGAGAGGGGTTCTCGCCTCAAACTTAAGAGTTGGACAATTTTTTTAAAAGAGAAAGATCAGGTAAAAATTAGAAAGAAAAGGGGATACACATTTTTAATGGAGAAAAGAGATCAAAGAAAGCCAAAGGAAATCTATGGATTAAGGTAAGATGACAGAACTGACCCATAACAGTCTGCCACAATCCCCAGGGTGGTCTTGCTCTTTATCCTAGCACTGAGTTTTATCACTTATGTGACACCATGTCCTTTATGACTTTCCCTCTCTAAATTCTTATTAAATTTCACCACATTTTAAATGCATTTAAAAGTATGCCTTTGGGACATAGATCAACTGAGATATGTCATACGTTGAGAAGTTTCTGGAAACTGTGACGTTCCATGTACTGGACGTACTACTGCAGATGCACCTGTTGTTTCAGACACCAGTCATAAGTCACAAAAAAGTCGAGCTTATTCTCCCACACTTCCTTCTGAGTGTGTTACCACACTGATTCTGTTTGGTGCTCCATTCCTTATTCCACCAGTGGGAGCTGAGATGGCCAGAAAGCACTGCACTTTTGCACCATGTCTAACGGTTCCCAATTAAGCTGGAGCATTTAGAACCGATTGTCATGATGTGGGATGCCCTGCCTGCATCAGGCTCACCAGGGGTGCCTGTTACAAATGCGAACTCCTGGACCCCACCTCACATCGACTCCATTCAAACTGCCAGAGGTGAATAGGAATGTGCATTTTAAACATGCTTCCTGGATGAGTTTTATGCACTAATGCTTGAGCACCACAGTTTGTTGCTTTTTTCTTTATAAAATCAAACCATGATCATGATAGAAACGTTGTCATAATGCAAAAAAAGGTTTTTAAAATCATTGACATATACATGTTATGGTTAAAATTCAAGGTTATGGTCAAGTAGATACTTTTGCCAAGTATTTACTTTTTTCCTGTCTTACATCTTTGGCACATATTTTAACTGAAAATTAACTCCAGTTAAATAATAATATTTGTAAATTTTAATATTATTGATAATATTACTTGCAAAAACTATCTGAGAAAGGTAATGGAAGACAGCATAACTCAAAGGTAAATGCTATATTTAAACAATAAGTTGCTTTATGTGCAGTTAAGATTAAATCCATTTTTAGAAATACTTAGCAAAGATGAAATTCATGTACTGGTGCTAAATCATGACTATCGATGCTAACAGTTGAGAAAAAAGCAGAAAAACAAGCAAAAAACTTTTTTCTTTTATAAGAAATTAGAATTACTTCCTTTGAATGAATCAACATGTATAATTTTTTCAGTGTGATCATAAAATGTGACCATATCTTTAAACTGTAAATTACCTCAGAATGCTTTACTAAAGCTTCCAAACAGAACATTTCCACTGTAGCTGAAGGAACTTCTCCAAAACTTTCCGCATAAGGAAGTCCATTTCCTCCGAAACACCATAAACCACCCTGACAATGAGATGATTAAAATTCTTAGTGAAAAAAGGGGCCTAATATTTTTTGTTTCACAAAAAAAGCAAAAACAAAAACAACCTCTGTACTATATATAGTAATTAGAAAGAACTAATATGTAGGACTCAAAATATTTTGGAGACTTACAGGGAACTTTCATTATGCAAACTGTTGCTAGACTAGAAAACATGTGGGATTATTCTTAGAAGACAGCAGTCTTTGAGACTTCTCAGTTCTTTCCTCTGTGTCCTCTTATCTGAAAGTACAGAGACTAACACATAAATCTTCACCCAGTAAGAAAAGCCAGAGCTGAACAAATAATGTTCTGGTGTCAGATTATGCCAGTAGGGTCTACCTAAAATCTATCAATCAGAATAATAGAAAAGGCGTTACTAGAAAAAGTTAAAATACAGACAATAATAACTGATCAAAGAGCTTTTAATTAAAAAGAGGGGTGGGGGGTGAATTCCCTGGCAGTCCAGTGGTTAGGGCTCAGTGCTTTCACTGCCAGGGCCGGGGTTTAAGCCCTGGTTGGGGAGCTAAGGTCCTGCAAGTCACGCAGTACAGCCAAAGGAAAAGAGAGAGAAAAAAGTTCTAAGCCTTCTTAAACTGAAATTCAAATTCACATGGAAGAATTAACAGAAGAGTTAGGAAAATTATGAAAGAGAGGAGTAGTGGGGACTAGTCCTAGTAGACATTAAAACACGAAAATAAACTTGGAAAAGAAAATTTCAATTCTTAACTGCAGATCACTAACATGCGATAATCTCCTACAACTCAGTGAGAAAATACCAACAAGGCTATGGAAAAATGAGAAACAGTCAGAAGCAGAAAGTTCTTAGGAAAAGAAATATAATGCCTCTAAAATATATGAAACAGCACCCACCATTGCTGGATTGTCCTTAAACCAAGACCACAAAAGCTTTACGGTGGAAAAAGCACTTCAATGCACCACATCCACTGTTCTCTTGACCCTAGGGAGTTCACCACATTGGATCAAAAAGAAGTCACAGTCTACACCGTCCAAAAGTCTGCATCCTGTTTGCATCTGAGGATGCAAACTGAGGTCCTCCAACAGAGGCTGAACCTGGAGATGAGGTGACTGACTGGAGTGTCCAATGGTAACAAAAACCAAAACAAGACTGAAACCTGGATCCTGACATCAGAGGAGGAGCCATCTTTATGGTAACATATGGAATGGTAGAAGACCAAGGACCATTCCTGCCTGGCTTCCTTCCAGAAGTACAGTCAGCAAATTTCCCAGTCTTTAGCTATGGGAGTAGGCGACCGTAAAGCTGAGAAGCGCTTTCCCGCTCACCGACCCAGTTCTCCCAGTGAACTGAGAGAATAAAAGCAGGGAAGGCAAATCATTGCCAAGGTGGGTGGAGCAGGGAGGTGGGGCATTTTGATATTGCGTCTAATTGTGTGTCCTTTCATTTTAATACATGTGAGAGCTCATCTCCAGTGTTTCTTCATAAAAAATTACAACTTTCGAGCTCTGCAACTTGTTCAAACTCACTGGGCGTAAATGACATTCATTCTAAAGCATGAGTTTGTAAGCCAGGTTATCCTTAAAGATCTGGGGTAGAGAGAATTCAGGGGAGAGAGGATGTAAGCTTGGATGCGGAAAAAACTGTATCTTTACTTTCCTAACCCTTAAGTGAAAATTTCATTGTATTCAATTACAAAGACAAAAGCCACAGTGACAGCAGCAGTCTGTGCGCCTCTGCCAAAGATAGAAAAGAAAGAAAAGAAAGTGAAGTTGCTCAGTCATGTCCAACTCTTTGTGACCCCATGGACTGTAGCCTACCAGGCTCCTCCATCCATGGAATTTTCCAGGCAAGAGTACTGGAGTGGGTTGCCATTTCCTTCTCCAGCAGATCTTCCCAACCCAGTGATAGAACCTGGGTCTCCCGCACTGCAGGCAGATGCTTTACCGTCTAGCCACCAGGGAAGCCCTGCAAATAATAGTAGGTGCATCTATTTCCCCATCACATGTCACTTGCTGCAGCTACCTGAAAATAGCATCATGCTCATGGTTCCTTTGAATGCCAACTGCACATTCTCACACTGGTGACCCAGAACTGACCCTGCATCTAACTCTCGAAAGGCACAGGGTGTAAAACTGTAAATGTGCGTAAAACAGACATAGAAAAAATATACCTATAGGGCTTCCCTGGTGGTACAGCGGATAAGAATTCACCGGCCAATGCATGGTACATGGGTTCAATCCCTGGCCCAGGAAGATCCACATGCCTCAGAGCAACTGGGCCCATGGACCACAACTACTGAGTTTGCGTGTGGCAACTACTGAAGCCTGTGCGCCAAGAGCCTGTGCCCTGTATCAAGAGAAGCCACTGCAAGGAGAAGCCTGAGCACTGCAACTACAGAGGAGCCCCCGCTCACCACAACTAGAGAAAGCCTGTGCAGCGACGAAGACCCAGCGCAAGCAGAAGAAAGAAAATATATACATACACACACACACACATATATATGGAAAGTAAACGGGGAATGATAAAACAAATGGGATAAAATAGGAATAATTGACAAGTCTACTGAAATATATTATTGTTGCAATTCTTTAAGTTTGAAATTAAAGTACATATTTTATAAATTTGTAAATTTGATAATAGTATTTCAATATAATTGGTCTCCCATGTAATCCTATGTATTTTAAGCATCTAGAAATGAGTTCATAGACTTTATCAAATTACCAGAGGGATCCATGGTGTGCAGAGGTTAAGAAGCCGTGCTCTGAACTGAATCATAACTGCAGGCTGTCTGCTAAAGCCCAGAGGGAGTTATGCACGTGAGCAGTGTTGTAGCGAAGCTGCACCGCCCCACCTGATGGGGACTTGGGGACTGTCACGGGACACGTCTGTCATTAACTGGTCAGATCACTAAAAACCAGACGGGCGTGCCTCCCACTCCTTCCCCCAACTTCCCCCACCTTTTAAAAAAAACCAGAGCCTGACTAAACAGGGGAGTAGGAGTAACTGAAATGGAGTTTCTTACTGGTCTGATGAGATGGGATCTCAGAACTAAAATTACTGATTTCAGTATGAAACTAACTAAAAATAGGCTACTCCTTTAAACTGCTGGCTGAGGCCACGACGTCCAGGTAGCGAAGAAGTGGTACAATGTGTTACACTGCGCACTCTCTTCACTTAGCGAAGTGAGCAGACACTGTAGAGGTGACAGAACACTCGAGAAGGCAGAGGGATGTTAACTGAACAGTCATGAGCAGAAGAGAATTTTTGGTGCTGAAAACTGAGCAACTCCAGGCCAGGCAGCAGGAGCCCGGCAGGGGAGTGAGGACAGAGGTTGAGGGAGAAGTCCCGGGGATTGGAGGCCGTGGGATGCCCTGCGGGGGGCAGGAATAATCGAGAAGAGCCAGGGACCTCTCACCGTCAGAAAACAAAGCTGCTCGCACAGCCACCTTGGGGATGGAATTAAAAAGGCCGATGAGGAACAGGCTCCCGTGGCCAGGCAGTGACGCTCTGAGCATCGAAAGGAAGACAATGATTACACTTCACTGGAGCGATTCCAAGACACAGCCCAAAGGAGAAATTGTGAAACGTAGGCTAGAGAAGTCATAGCTACTGGTATGTCCCTAATTTCTCATAAAAACAGAAATGAGGGAAAGACATTCCACTGTCTGAAAAAAAAATGAATAATGTGAGAGTTGTGAGTGAAGTTTTATTTGGGGAAAAATGAGGACTGTAGCCTGGAGAGACAGCGTCTCAGACAGTTCTGAGGAACTGCTCCGAAGAGGCAGAGGAGAAGGCCAGTATTTTATATGGTTTTAATGACAGGGGGTGTACAGTCAAGCACACACTATGGCAGAGGCCGAAGTGCGGAGTGCACGACGCCGTTAATGACTTCAGTGCTTCTCTAGATCAGAGGAGATGCAAGAACTTGGGCTCATAAAATCTTTTCCTAAAAATACCTATCTGAAGGCCTGTTCTGCTGGCTTTTCCCAGAGCACAGAGGGCCTCATTCCCGATCTCCACCCTGAACTCCCTTTGGGGTGTGCTGACAATAGCTACAGCGGTCAGTGACTTAATCCCTGTGGAGGCAGGTGGCAAGTGCAGATTTTTAGTTGGCAGTTCAGTTGGTGAAACAATACAGAATACTATGCTTTGTTTTACTGATAATGCTTTTTTAATTGCATTTTTATTGCAAAACAAATGCAAACCAAATGCATTTGTCTCACTGATAAAATGTTTTCTCCTCACTGAGTCAATTATGTAGTTATGATAGTAATAGTGACTATACTTTGTTTGGATTTCTCTTAGAGATGTAAAAGCTATTCTTTTTAACTTTTTATTTTGCATTGGGGTGTAACTGATCAACAAACAATATTGGGAGGGTTTCAGGTGAACAGTGAAGGGACTCGGCCATACACGTACCTATATCCATTCTCCCCCAACTTCCCATCCACACTGCCACATAACACAGCCGAGCTCCCTATGCGGTACAGTAGGTCTTGCTGGTGACCATTTTAAATACAGCAGTGGGTACCGACCATCTCAGACTCCCTAACTGTCCCTTCCCCATGACAACCGTTAAGCTCGTTCTCTAGTCTGCGGGTCTCTTCTGTTGCAAAGAGTTATTTTATGAAGACAGAAGTCTTGCTGAGATGACAGCGGAGGAACAGTGGAAGCCAGTGGCCGCCCTGGGTGGGGCGGGGCGCGGCGGGAGTCTGCTGAGGAGGCTGCTGTGATGCACTGGGAAGCCCTCTGCGATGTATTGGGTGGTTTGATGCCAGGCGTTTACATCTGGTCAACAGGCCGTGGCGAGAACAGCAGGAGTAAGGGTTGCAGGGAGATAACAGAGACACTTCCATTGGAAGGGATGGCTTGTCTCGACTGAAGGTAGCCTTACTTCCAAGAAGTGGAGCTTCCCCGGGGAGCACTCTGAGAGCTCTGACCATGGTGCAAACACTGCCCTCCTCACCTAAGCGTGGTCTCCTTCAGTTTTCAGACTCTTCGCCACCAAACTTTACACTACATCTGTGCCCAGTGGCGCCTTCCTGTCAATCTCCTCACCACTCCTAGGGGCAGGCACACCGGTACATCCAGGCCAGTCTGTGCCTGGATCACAGTGAGGGGCTCAGGTTTAATGTGTAACAGGGAGCCATTTGGGGGGGGCTCCAAGCAGGAGTACGACCTGATTGAACTTGTGTTGTTGTTGTCGTTGTTTTAAATCACTGCAGCTGCTGAGGACATAGAACTGGAGACAGAAGCTGGAGGTTGAAGCAGTGTCTACAGCTCATAGAGGTGATGGAGACATGATAAGGAAGCTTTCCAGAGACAGCAAGATGGTGAACTTGGCTCCCAGGTGTGGAAAAAGAATGTAACCTGCCATTACACTCAACAAAAAATGGTCCCCACCATCAAGCCATCAGCCACTGCAGCACACTCTACCCACTGTGCGCCCTGAGGGGAATTCAGGATGGAGGAGAAATTAAATGCAGAGAAAATTCTGCGCTCAGGATACTGGCCCGAGGTGATGAAGATGCATATCTAATGAATAATTTCAATGAGCCCAGATTCCTGCATCTTCCCATACACAGAAAAGCACTAAAATCATTAACTCAAGATGTGTTTTTGTGTGTGTGTGATTAGCAATAATCTTTGATGTTCAACCACAGGGTATTTTTCCCAACAAAAAACTCATATATCCTGGCTGCTCCCTCACCTCTTTGGAGCAGCTCCTTGGAGATACCTTAGCTACAATCCTCAATAAGGTCCCCAAATAAAACTTAACCTGCAACTTTAGGTTGTGCGTTTTTCTTTAGTTGACATAGTGAGCCCCTCCCATGACAAACATGCTTAATAAAATATAGCAAAAGCTATTTTGAAACAAAGTCAAGCTCTAAAGAAAATAAAAAAGAAATAAAGCAAAACCCCTGAGTGCTAGAACTGAAAACATTTAGCAGAAGTGGTCAGCACACCAGTGATGAGGTAAAATGCCTACAGGCCCCTGAGGATGGGATAGTAACACTGTTCAGGGTTCACATCATCGCAGAAGATGTGGTTTGAGTCTCACATTCTCTGGGAGCTAGATCCAAGATCTCTACTTGAAGGGAGAACCCTGCAAAGATTGCCTCCTTGTCTGTAAGAGAGTCTAGAAAAACTCTGCTCACCAGCCCATGAGCAAGAAGCCTGTCTCTGCTGGGGCTTTGAGTGGGAAGACTATATCATCCAAAGATGTATCTGAATTCACACTAAAAATGTGCTGTAGAAATTCCAAACTAAGGAATTAATATTAAAAAAAAATTAGTCCCATTATAGTGAACCCTTGGGGTATCCAAAAGAAGCAAACATAAAAACTTCTCCGTAGCAATAAATTTAGAATCTGAGGTGCTTGGGACTCCCACAGAAAACAATCAGTCTAGCTAAAGATAAGCTCACAGTAAAAACGATTAATGCGTGTTAATCCACAATATAACATAAGGGGGAGGCTCCACAAATAGGAATAAACACCCCAATAAACTGAAGTAATAAAAAGACTTTGAAAGAGACATTAGAGTTATTTTTAAATGAAGGGAAGAACAGAAGCCAGGATGAAGGAACAGGACACTATGAGAAAGAGATGCCGGTGGCCAGGAGCAAGTGGCTACAGTGAAGATGGTGAGACAAGTGAATTCGCGTCATACGTGAAGGAACAGCTGATCAGATGAACATGGAAGAAGAGTCAAGAAGTCCGAGGCTTTAGCTTAAGCAACTACATGGATGCCCTGCCCTCCACTGAAACGAAACAGACTAGGGGAGGAAGAGCTTTGTGCAGGGAGGGAGAGTTCAGCTCGTACAGTTGGGATGCCTGTTAAACATCCACGGAGAGACATCAAGAAGGAGGCTGCAATATCTAAACCTAGAGCTTAGGTGAGAACACAGGTTAGAGAAGTTGAATTCAGGCATCACCACAGAGGTAATATTTAATAGCCTTGTCAGTTACTACCTATTCATTCTTCAAGATTCAACTTCAGAGGATGTCCTATAGAGCTTTCTGAACATGGCCTCTTACAAAGAGTGACGGGCTCCTGGATCTCTCTTACACACTCTCTCACACTCTCTGTAACTTTATTACCTGTCTCCCCATTAGCCCGAACACCTAGCCCAGTAAGTGGCAGACAACCAGGAATCAGTAGTAAGTTTAATTCAGTTCCTAGATGAATGACTGCCCTAAAGCCCTATGTGCTAGCCCCAGCACAACATTTTAGAAAAGTGGGCACTCAAAGATATTTACTGACTGAATAAATGAACTCACCTTCTGAGCAGCGAGACTTTGACTGCTCTCACTCAGAGCCAAAGCTGTGAAACACTGGATACACTCGTCCAGGTCTGCTTGAGGTAAAGAAGCCAGCAAGTGTCTGAGCTCTTCTTCAGTGGAAGAATCCTGAAATAAAGGGAAAAAACTCTTCATAATTAAACTCAACAATTGAGTATAATGAAAAGAACCCAAAGGAACTAAGCCAAAACAAAACGGGAGAGGTGAATCAGTGCTTTTAGTCTTGAACCCGATCACCCACCCTGGTAAAGAGAATCGTTTAATTCTGAATTCCACACTTTCAAGTCTGCTACCTCAGCCGGAAAGACCTATTACAATTTATCGCTCAAGATTTCATCTCATGGGTCATTTCACATCTTGACGCAAATGAATTATTACATTCTCTCTAATTAAAGCTGGCTTTTTAATATCCACAACTTGTTCCTATTGTTCTGATTTTCACTAATAACTTACATCTAGTATAGTTTTTTTCTGTTTTTCAAAAACTCATGGCAAAGTTTTCAGATTTCATTTTCTAGGAAAGCCTAGGAAAAGCACTTAAGAAACATGCTCTAATATCTTTATTAGTGGTTAACAATTAATATCCATGTATAGTAATACAGGGAGGCCTGGCGTGCTGCAGTCCATGGGGTCTCAGAGTTGGACATGACTTGGCAACTGAGCAACAACATGGTAATACATTAGTATCTAAATGCAGTGGTTCTCCAGGGGCTGTTTTGCACCCTAGGAAACATTTAGAAATATCTGGAGACATTTTTGGTTGTTACAGCTGGGGGGTGCTACTGTCATCCAGGGAGTAGCTGCCACCATGTACAGAACAGCTTCCAACAACAAAGAATTATTTGACCCAAAATGTCAGTAGTATTGAGATTGAGAAAAACTGATCTATAGCAATCTTAGTACAAAGGACCAACTGATAGATGCTGATATGCTAAGAAGCCACCCTCTGGTATAAAGAGACTCCCAACTCCACAAACAGGAGAATAATTTAGGACAAATAGTACCTCCTGAGGAACCAAGAAACCTTGGAATGGAACCTACAATTTCAGGTTTACACCCTAACTAACCTGCTTGTGAGAAGCAGCCAAAAACTTGTTTTTTGAATGGTTATTTTGTACCCAAAGTGAAGGTGATATATTAAACTTTTTTTTACTCAGTAGATTATTTTTACTTACTTCTTTTAAAGATGGCAGAGGAGGAGGGCGGAGAAAAAACCGAAGATCACTCTCTTTGCTTCGTGCCAAACCAGTAAGAGTTCTCATATCACAGGCTTGAGCAATTATCCTGTACTGGTAATCTATTGCAGAAGTATGCTGTTAGCACCCAACTTAGTCTATCGTTGTTTCAAAGATTAAATGAAGAACGTAATTTTTAAACTGTAAGTTTGTAATTCAAAATTTTGCTGCATTTACAATACCGATAAACTAAATATCCAACATTTCCATGACTGATCTAATTCTCAACACATATCTAGACATATCACAGTCTAACTAACCTTTTTGAAAAAATAAACCTCAAATGTGAAACCTGATAGATCATAACCAATTTAATTTCTTCTCCTTTAAAAAAGAAATTCCAGCATTCAAAAGCTATTTTGATCACTACTCAAAACCCTGCAAGGAGATCAAACCAGTCAATCCTAAAGGAACTCAATCCTAAATACTCATTAGAAGGACTGATGTTGAAGCTCTAATACTTTGGCCACCTGATGCAAAGAGCCAACTCATTGGAAAAGACCATGATGCTAGGAAAGACTAAAGGCAAAAGAAGGGGGTGGCAGAGGATGAGATGGTTAGCTAGCATCACTGATTTAATGAACATGAGTTTGAGCAAACTGCAAGAGACAGTGAAGGACAGAGGAGCCTGGCATGTTATAGTCCAGCGTAGCAAAGAGTCACACGTGACTTAGCAACTGAACAACATCAACAAAAACCTGAGGTTCCATTTAGATCCATCATCCCCTGGTACTGCCACGGTGCTTTGGCATTCCATGATGCCGATGAATAATCAGAGGTCCCAGATAGCAGTACTTTGGTTTAGCCTTGATGATTTCACTGTTCCATTCCTTATGTATTGCTATAGAGTGAATGTTTGTGTCCCTCCTAAATTCATGTGTTGGAACCTAATCCTTAATGTCATGGGATTTGAAGGTAGGGCCTTTGCGAGGTGATTTGGAGTGTTCACGACTGGGATTAGTGCTCCTGTTAAAGGGACCCCAGAGAGCTCCCTCTGTCCTTACTGGACACCAGGGTACCACGTCTGCTGCCCTGATCCTGTATTTCTCGGCCTCCAGAAAACCGTGAGAAATAAATATCTGTTGTTTATAAGCTACCTGAAAAGTGAAAGTCGCTCAGTCGTATCTGATTCTTTGCAACCCCATGGACTATATAGTCCATGGAAATCTCCGGGCAAGAATACTGGAGTGGGTAGCCATTCCCTTCTCCAGGGGATCTTCCCAGCCCAGACCAGGAACCCAGGTCTCCCATATTGCAGGCATATTCTTTACCATCTGAGCCACCAGGGAAGCCCAAATTAAGCTACCTAGTCTATGGCATTTTGCTACAGCATCCCAAATGGATTAAGACATGTATCAAAACAAACAAACAAACGAAAAACAATCTGCAACCACTGGAGGAGACATTATTTTTAATAATAGCCCTATGTAACCTGGGTATCAGAATCAAGTGTGGAACTTTTTCAAAATCTACATGCCAGGGCTCCAACTTTGATGTTTCTGATAGAGCAGAAATCTGAATAGAGTCCTGGAAGGCAGATTTTGAAACAGATTTTTATTCTAAACCTTTACTCACATTCTCCACACAACTAGTTCAGTTCAGTCACTCAGTCATGTCTGACTCTTTGCAACCCCATGGGCTGCAGCACGCCAGGCTTCCCTGTCTATCACGAACTCCTGGAGCTTGCTCAAACTCATGTCCATCAAGTCAGTGATGCCATCCAACCATCTCATCCTCTGTCGCCCCCTTCTCCTCCTGCCTTCATTCTTTCCCAGCATTAGGGTCTTTTCAAATGAGTTCGCTCTTCGCATCAGGTGGCCAAAGTACTGGAGCTTCAACATCAGTCCTTCTGATGAACATTCAGGACTGATCTCCTCTAGGATGGACTGGTTGGATCTCCTTGCAGTCCAAGGGACTCTCAATAGAGTCTTGCCCAACACCACATTTCAAAAGCATCAATTCTTCGGCACTCAGCTTTCTTTATAGTCCAACTCTCACATCCATACATGACTACTGGAAAAACCACAACTTTGACTAGATGGACCTTTGTTGGCAAAGTAATGTCTCTGCTTTTTAATATACTGTCTACCCTGGTAATAGCTTTTCTTCCAAGGAGCAAGTGTCTTTTAATTACCATAGTTTGGTCTCAGGTCAAACTACAGGGACGCAACACAGCCCAGCCCATCAATCAACAGAAAATTGGATTAAAGATTTACTGAGCATGGCCTGGCCCATCAGGATAAGACCCAGTTTCCCCCTCAGTCAGTCTCTCCCATCAGGAAGCTTCCATAAGCCTCTTATCTGTCAAAGGGCAGACAGAATGAAAACCACAATCACAGAAAACTAATCAAACTGATCACATGGCCCACAGCCTTGTCTAACTCAATGAAACTATGAGCCATGAAACCATGGCCACCCGAGATGGACGGGTCATGGTGGAGAGTGACAAAACGTGGTCCACTGGAGAAGGGAATGGCAAACCACTTCAGTATTCTTGCCTTGAGAAACACCATGAACAGTATGAAAAGGCGAAAAGATATGACACTGAAAGATGAACTCCACAGGTCGGTCGGTAGGTATCCAGTATGCTACTGGAGAAGAGTGGAGAAATAACTCCAGAAAGAATGAAGAGACAGAGCCAAAGCGAAAACAACACCCAGTTGTGGATGTGACTGGTGATGGAAGTGAAGTCCGATGATGGAAAGAGCAATATTGCACAGGAACCTGGAATGTTAGGTCCATGAATCAAGGTCAATTAGAAGTGGTCAAACAGGAGATGGCAAGAGTGAACATTGACATTTTAGGAACCAGTGAACTAAAATGGACTGGAATGGCTGAATTTAATCCAGATGACCACTCAGATTAAGTAAGCTTATTTTTACATTATAAATTACTATAGTCACCAATCAGTCAAACTGACTGACTAACTTGTATGGAGACAGAGATCTTATCCTGAAACTAAACTTTTCTTTGAGAACATTATTCTTTTTTACATGTTTGTGAAAGTGAAAGTGTTAGTCACTCAGTTGTATTCAACTCTTTGTAACCTCATGGGCTGTAGTCTGCCAGGCTTCTCTGTCCATGGAATACTCCAGACAAGAATACTGGAGTGGGTTGCCATTTCCTCCTCCAGGGGATCTTCCCGAACCAGGGATCAAACCCAGGTTTCCTGCATTGCAGGCAGATTCTGTACTGTCTGGGCCATCAGCGAAGGCTCCTCTTTTTATAAGAGGACTCTACTAACTAAGTGTACTTTAGTCCCTGTACTATATTCAGAGCAGATCTGAGCTCCTGCTCATGTAATTTTACTGCAGAACTTGCAATTTTAAATACAACTAAATATTAGAAACCTTCCTTAAAAAACAAATATACCAAAAAAAAAAAAAAAAACCCCAAATATACACAAGCCATTAGGTACATTTGACTAATTATTATATTAAAGCCACAGAGACTGTCAAACTGAAAGCACATGTAACTTTGGTGCAGCCAGCAACTAAAATATATTTCATTAAATAAGAACGAAAAAACAGGCCAACACATTAAGTTGTACCTATCAGAATCAAGAGTTTCTCCCGTCAAGTATAAAAAGTTCATTCTGGTAGAAAGTTTGTACAAATATATCCACCTCCGTTTTCGGGGGTTCTCACCAAACACCCCATGGCTACCAGGCCGGCAGGTTTTGTACTTTATAACTGGAGTTTCCTTTAAAGTTTTTGAAAATATTGTTTACACATGTTAATATTTCCTGAATTATTTTCCTTCTGTGATGTCTCTGGCCTTTCATTTCACACCAGAGATCAGGAGCTGGCCGACGCGTGCGGCGCGCAGACGTCTCCTTACCGTGCCAGTGATGGGCCTCCGACATCTCCTGGACGGCCTGCAGTCGGGCTGCCCTGTCATCCGACCGGCTCTTCCTCAGCAGCAGCCACACAGTGCAGTCGTGATCTTCTATATCGACTGTACTAAAAGTGTCTTCACGATAACAAAAAAAGACAACGTGAACTGTTAAAACATTTTCATCCTCACATGTAAGACAGTAATTTGTTAAGTATCTGAAATCTACAATACGGAAGTTAAATCCATCTCCAGGTGTTGATAATGACTGATAGGCTTGTTCTCAGTTCTGTCATATTATGATGTTATGTATAATATATATGTGCTTTTGTTTTATATATTATGTTGGCTTTCACAATGAGATCTTTGTTTCTTTTTGGCTCCTTTTCCCTAAAGAAATTTTTTATTATGAGAAATATCAAGTATATGAGATAGATTAAAATCATAATGCATTAACAGCCACATGTTTACCACAGCTAGATTTAACAAATGTTCTTATTTTGCCATAGCTGTTTAATCTGCATGGTGTGTGTATTTTATTTTACTTTTTTTGGCTGTGCTGAGCAGCTTGTGGGATCTTAGTTCCCTGACCAGGGATTAATAAACCCAGGCCCTTGACAGAGAAAGCGCATAGTTCTAAACACTGGACCGCCAGAGAATTCCCCTGGATGTGTATGTACTTTTTTTTTTGTACTTCTTTTCTAAACTGTATGAAAGAAAGTTGCAGAAGTAATGATATTTTACTGTTTCATAATTCTAAATGCATCTCCTAAGAATAAGCCTACATTCTCCTATATAATCACAATGCCATTATAACATCTAAGAATACTAATAAAAATCTTCCAGATCATCTAAAAATCAGTCTAACTCCATACTCAAATTCCTCCAACTTTTCTCAAAATATCTTTAGAGCTGTTTAAAAAAACAAACAAACAGGATTTGGTTTGGTCTCTTTAGTATCTTAATTCTAGAAAGTTTTCCCAGCTTTTCTTTTTCAAGATGCCAACTTTTTAAAGAGATCAGGTCAGCCCTTTTATAGCTAGCTCCACAATGTAGATTTGCCCAATTGTGAAATCTATATTTTTGATGCATTATGAGAAAGCATGGGAATGATTTTCCAACAAATAATTTTGAAATATTCATTGAGAGTCTCAATATTTATTTACAACTATCTAAAAATAATGCACCCATAAAGATAGGAAAAATCTTTCCAAGGCATCAAGTCCTTAAAATTAAGTATAGCCCAAGAGAACAAGGTTATTCAATTTTCCATAGCTATGATAAATCTTAGCACAAGAAATGGAAAAAAAAAAATCTCAGGTTGATCACTGAATGACTTTAAGATTACTGATAAGGATTCTCAATTAAATATGTGAAACTTACCAGAAAATGGACCCCGTAATATCCTGGCTGACGTTGCCAATACTTTCCTCACTGCTTTGTGAAGCTCTTTCCTTGCCTGGTAGGTGATTCCTAGAATGATTACAGATGTAAATAAAACCAAATAGGTACTCTTAATGCTAGGCTCCAATACTTCAAAGAAAAATGTATAAATTAAGTTCCAATTTTTTAAAAAGAAAATGTAAAATAACATCTTTCTCTTTTTACTGTCACTATTAAAGCAACTAAAACCATTATGGGAACACAGGCTCCAAATCCCACCCCACACCCCGCAAACTGCTTTCCTAGTCAGTGAAAAGGTGAAAACAAAAGAAAAGCAAACACACTAACTCAAGCTAACAGAAATCCTCATATACAACACAGGAGTAACCATATTTGAGAAAATGTCACTTAAAAATATCCCTCTCAGAGTGAAAATTAGAGATACCTGACTAATGAGATTCAGCTTTACTATATAGGTAAATTATATGCTATAAAAATTAGCTGTGAAATTGATGTAACACACCATGAAAGCATGTTGAAAGAAGGAAAGTACAACAACAATACATACAGACTGGAGAGGGTGGGGATAGATACAGCTGCAGAGAGGGGAGCAGCAGAACCTGCCTGACTCGGGGTACGTAAAGTGCTCACAGGCATGGTTCTTCTGGCTGACAATGGACAACAGGCAGCTGTAAATCTAGTCTGATGACTTCCCAGGCTACCCACATCCTGATGAAAAGATACTCTGCTCTAAAACTTCCTGTTCGCCAAGCAACCATCTGATTACTAATTGAGTGTTCATCTGACCTAAATATGGAGGAGGGGTGTTTCGACTAGTAGAGCTGGGTTTTCCAAACTTAATGACACATTTTTTTTTCCCCTCTGTAAATAAGAGGTATTTGGTACTCATATTTATGAATCCATCCCATGAGATTAGGGTGAATAATAAATGCCTTAGAGCAAAAATACCTCTGAGCTAAGTGACAAAAATCATGTCTTTATGCTTGCTAAACTGAAGACCAGCCTCTGAACTGACAGTCCTCGTGAAGCAAAGAACTCCAAGTGAAAGTGAAACTCGCTCAGTCATGTCTAACTCTTTGTGACCCCATGGACTCTACAGTCCATGGAATTCTCCAGGCCAGAATACTGGAGTGGGTAGCCTTTCCCTTCTCCAGGGAAATCTTCCCAACCCAGGGACTGAATCCAGGTCTCCCGTGTTGCAGGTAGATTCTTTACCAGCTGAACCACCAGGCAACTCCAAGCTTAGACTGAAACAGTTGGCTAGTCTTCAACTGACTTAGTTACAGGAGAGCTGCAAATTTGGGTTAAATATGTGAAATTTGGGGTTAAATATGTGAAGATCCAAAATATGATCTTCAATTAATTCCTTAGGAACTTGGCTCTCACAGGTCTGGTTGTTCTTACAGTTAGCTGAGCCTGTTTTATTAATATTGCATTCATTTTAAAACTTTTTTATAGTTTTTCCTTCAAGTTTTACTGAACTACAATTGATATACAGGTCTGTACAAGTTTAAAGTAAACAGCATAATGATTTGATTTACATACATCATGAAACGAGTACCATAACATTTAGTGAACATCTATCATCTCATGGGTACAAAATTAAAGAAATAGGAAAAAAATTTTTGCTTGTAATGAAAACTCTAAGGATTCACTCTCATAACCACTTTCATATATAACATACAACAGTGTTAATTATATTTATTAATGTACGTTACACCCCAAGTACTTATTTATCTTATAACTGGAAGTTTGTACATTGTGACCACCTTCATCCAATTCCCCCTGCCCCCACATGGGCCCTGCCAATGGTAAGCACAAATCTGATCTCTTCTCTATGAGTGTGTTTGTTCGTGATGTATAATTGACCTACAACATTGTGTTAGTTACTGGTGTTGTTGTTTTTGTTGTTTAGTTGCTAAATCCTGTCTGACTCTGCAACTCCATGGTCTGTAGTCTGCCAGGCTCCTCTGTCCATGGAGTTCTCCAGGCAAGAATACTGGAGTGGGCTGCCATTCCCTTCTCCAGGGGATCTTTCCAACCCAGGGATCGAACCTGTGTCTCCCGCATTGACAGGCAGGTTCTTTACCACTGAGCCACCAGGACTGTTGATATCACAATATAACAATCACTGGGGCAGGAACTATGGATTTTTTATATCCTTTATTTTTCTACTTTTCTCTGTTCTGTATCTAATCCTCCTGATCACTTTTACAACTGGGTGGTTGGGGAGAAGCTTTTCCTTCACAAAGTTATTTCATTTTAGTTTGATACTGTTAGTATGGCTGGGAGACGGTTAAGAAAATTTTCCTTTACTGTGAAGCATTTTAGTTCTAATTTCTCCCAGTCACAGGAAGTAATGTCATACTTCTATGTATTTCAAAATGATCAGCATGCTAAATCTAGTTATCTCTCACCATACAAGAGTAGTGCATAATTACTGACCACGTTCGCCACACTGAACACTTTATATCTGTAACTCCTCTATTTATAACCAAAAGACTGCCCCTCTCAGTCTCCCTCACCTATTTCTCTCTTGCCCCAACCCCCAGCCCTCTGGCAACCACCTGCAGGTGCTCTGTATAATGAGTAGGTGTTCTGTTTACTCATGTTCTATTTTTTGATTCTACATATACATGAAATCACACAGTATTCTGTCTTTCTCTGTCTGACTTATTTCACTCAGCATTATACCCTCTGGGTCTGTTACAAATGGCAAAGTTTCGTTCCTTTTTATGGCTGAGTAATATTCCATTGTGTATATACACACACACATCTTCTTTATCCATTTATCTATTGATGGGCACTTAGGTTCTTTCATATCTTGGCTATTGTAAATAATGCTGCACTGAATAGAGGGGTGGATAATCTTTTAGACTTTTCTTTGAATAAATACCCAGGGATGGAATTGTTGGTTCTAATAGAGTTCTATTTTTAATTTTTTAAGGAATCTGAATACTGTTTTCCATAGCATTTGTACCAATTTACATTCCTACTCATTTTTTAAATTCAGTAACTAGCTTCCATTGTTCACAAAGATAGGATTACTTTACCATGAACTTACCATGATTTTCTGTTTTATCTAAAGAAACTGTGTGCACATATATATATGACTTCATTTTTTCTCTTTCTACCACTTGAGTATCTAATGTCAAAGACTTCTTCAAGGCCAGAACTTCATATGTAATAAATAAGGAGCCTCTTAAAAAGAAACAAAAAATTCATCATAAACATATAATCTAAATATAACACAGGAGCCACTCTTTTGTAATAAGCTTTCTGTAGAAATTTTTCTCTTTTTTATTGGGAAACATAGTATGAATATGGTAATGTGTATATAACATACACTACACATACATTTACAAATGTATATACACATTTCAGCGTAACAAATAACAACAAACATCTGCATTACATTCCCAGGCAAAAAACATTAACAGTACCCAGAAGCCCACAGTGTGTCCCTCCCTGATCCTGACCCTGTCTCTCATCTCTATAGCCAAGTATTATTCTCTGATTATAATAATATCCTTGCTATTCTTATAGTTCATCAGCTAAACATGAACCTTTAAACAACAAGGCTTAATTCTGTCTGTGAATTTCAAAGGAATGGGATCTCACTGTATGCATCCTTTAGTTCAGCCTTCTTCTTGTGAGATTCACCCATGTCGTTACATGTATCTGGAGTTCAAGCATTTATATTTTCACGTGGCATGTGATTCATCCACTGTGTGGCTATATAATGACTTACTTATCCTTTCTACCACAGATGGGCATTTAGGGAATTTCTGTTTTGAGTCAATTAATCTGTTATACATCATGTATATCTGCACTGTATGCATGTGTATATGTTCCTCTAAGATACATACTCATGTTCTGTACATACATATGTTCCTCTAAGATACATACTTAGAAGTAAAATTACAGACTTTCTGAAAGTATAAATATATTGTTTGACTTTACTAGATAATGCCAGTGTTTTTTTTAAAGATTAGTCAATCTGTACTCCTAACACCAGCATATGAAAATTTCTTCTAAGTGTTAAACCTAAAATCAAATATTAGAAGTGAAATACAAGGACTTCTCTGACGACCCAGTGGTTAGGACTGTGCCCTTTCACTGCCAAGGGCCCGGGTTCAATCCTTGGTTGGGAAACTAAGATGCCACAAGTTGCACAGTGGAGGTGGGGGGGAAGCAAACTAGAATTTTTTTTTTAAGTGAAATACAATGCTGTATATCCTAAAGCGAAGGATTTTTCCCCCCTAGTCAGACTGACCTACACACTCCTTTTATCCAGACACAAAGGCTGCACTCTGTGAACTCAGAGCTTAGAAACAGCAGTTATATGAAGCCTTTTCCCGAGCTTCCCACCCTACAGCAAAAGGAAGGAAGAGAGAAAGGCCAGACACTGCCAGCACCCAAAGAATGGAGAGAAAGCTCTTTAGGGTCATCACCTCTCTGGGGGAATAGACCAGAGCAGCCAAAACGAACAAATCTATTCAGTATTTTTATCACATGTTTTCTGAAAGACAAAATTCTTTACTAGAAATTGTGAGTTTTCACAATATTCCTGAATTTTACTGTGATATAAACAAAGAAACTGCATCATAGAAAAGAATATACATTTATCTTTTTTTTCCATTTATTTTTATTAGTTGGAGGCTAATTACTTTACAATATTGTAGTGGATTTTGCCATACATTGACATGAATCAGTCATGGATTTACATGTGTTCCCCATCCCAATCCCCCCTCTCGCCTCCCTCTCCATCCCGTCCCTCTGGGTCTTCCCAGTGCACCAGCCCTAAGCACTTGTCTCATGCATCCAACCTGGGCTACATTTATCTTTTGCCTGGAATGAGTCCAAGGAAAAAAATCCTCTAAATATGTTCTGTCTTACCTTACAATGTCATGGAGAAACGTATGTATTTGGATAAAATGGCAAATATATCTACTTTATCATTTTAGCATCTAAGATTTGATTTCATATTTACACTAATGAAAAAGAATATTATTAACAGAAACATTAGAGCAGCATTGGACATACACTTAATATATACCCATCCCTCCTCTCCAAAAAGAAGAAATGAGAATGAAAAATAACAACCTTTGGAAGAAAATCACTCCATTCATTAAACATGTGCCTCTGAAATAGCATGAAATTGGAGGGTCAATCTGGTGGTTTTCTCAGTCAACCTCAATTCCTTTCATAACAGCTTTATGGTGACTCAAAGGACTTTCAAAAATAATTTTGACTATAGTTGATTCACCTTTCTTGAACTTCTTCATAACCTAACACAAGATGTGATTTTAGGTATGTGAAAGCTAATCAGTGAGTGCCTGCTCTGTACTTGCCAAGTGCTTTCCTCAGAGCAACAGTGCCAGGGGGCAGAATTCCCACATCTACTACATCCAAGAGAAAACACTCCTCAGGGCTTAAAGTAACTGGGTCAAGACAACATTTAAGTGACAGAACCAGTGATGAATCCACATGTTCACAGATTCTAAAATCTATACCCTTTCACTACCCCTATGCTACCTGTAAATTACTTCCACTGAGCTCTCAAACAGTAGTATAATGAAGTCAATTACTATTCCACAGTTGATACTTACCCTAAAATAAGTGATCCAGTAAACTTTATTATATTTCCTTCAAAAAGAAAGGGAAAAAAAGTCAATGTCAATCTATAATTTGTTGGATGCATAGAAGCTTTGTTCAGGGTTTTGTTCAGATCTTCAACTAATGCTGCCAAGGAAACATTTCTCCTCCCTACTGAGGGCTAAGGAACTCCCCACTGACTTCCCCACACATCAGCCCAGGGAGATGGACATTCCTCCCCAATTCTAGAGCCTACGGCTCCAGAACAGGAAAGAGGACAATCCCAGGAAGTCTTCTTTACTCCAGGATGGTTGCTGGGCTTCCCCAGGAGCAGCTAGTTTGTCCCCCCATACCGCTGCCACCTGCTTCTTCACACTAGGGTGTTTCTCCCCACGAAGCACTGGAAACGGAGTGCAGACTCACAGCCTAGTCTGCTACCCTAAAGTGTGCTCACTGCTCTTGAGTCTGGTCTACTAGAAATGATGAGAGAAGTTTCCTTCTCTGTTCCACTCATTTTTGTATTTTTAAAACAAAATCACAGAATTTTCTAGATGAAAAGGATCTATCCGAAGAACTGATCTCTCTTAAAGGCCAAAAGGAAGCTCCATGAGGACAGACTTTGTCTTATTCCATACTGTACCCTCGGGGCCTAGTAATAGTACCCAGCACATAGTAGAATGAATGAAAGATGGTCTAGGCAATATTCTCATTTTACAAATAAAGATTAGTAATAACATAAATATTTACAAAGAAAGACAGTAGATTGGTACTAGATCTTAAGTTCTTAGAGGGCAAGCGAAACATCTTCCTGGCTCTCCATTGAATTACCAGAACCTAATACACGGGCCTGACACCAGTTTTATAGGAGCTTAGTAAACAGCTGCTGAAGAATGCAGTGAGACTTGAATTTACAAGGATGAGTATGAACCTGATGGGAACAAAGGGAAGGGGAAATTCCTAAGAAAAAGGAGTATGCATGGCTCTGGGCCTACAAATTTGGGGTGAACCATTAGCACAGAAAAGTTATAAATGAATTTGAGATTTATCACTAATTAAACAAGTTTTTGTGGACCACCCTAGAAACTTAACCACAATTCTATCACTGTTTCTGTAAGAAAATACTGTCATTTAAACTGTACTCACTGATATCTCTCCAGTATGTGCTGCTTTTTGGCGGAGGAGTCGAGGTTCCCATTCTTCTACAGCAGATGACACAATAAGCAGCCAGGGACATTCTGTGCATTTAGAACAATTGTAACAGATTTAATTTAGCATGTAATTAAAAATATTTCTTTTAACTAAAAGAACACATCATTACAGAATATTTCCACTGCTCTAAAAATGGACTGTGTATTATATATTCATCCCTTCCCCTACCCTCCTCTAAACCCTGGCAAACATGGGCCTTTTTACTATCTCTATGGTTTTGTCACTTACAAAATGCTATTACAATTGGAATCATATAATGAAAAAAAAAAGAACATGTCACAATCACAGTAGATTGACCACAGAGTTAGATGTTTCAAGACTTGGAAAAAAAAAAACTTTTCAATTAAAACAAAATTTCTCCCTTAAAAACTTAAAGCAGACTTATTAGAACAGTATTTTGCTGGTACCTTGATGATTCTTCTTCAAACTGTATCCAATTGTGAACAATGATTAGTAGGAAATAGGAAAAGAGGTTATTGAGAATATCAATATAGGTGTCAAAAAACTTTAAATGCCTTTGATATATATACATATAGGAGAAGGAAATTGCAACCCACTCCAGTGTTCTTGCCTGGAGAATCCCAGGGACGAGGGAGCCTGGTGGGCTGCCGTCTATGGGGTCACACAGAGTCGGACACGACTGAAGGAACTTAGCAGCAGCAGCAGATATTTATATTTATCTTTGGTGACTGTGAAGTCCCTACAGAAGTGAAAAGCATTCTGAATGGAAGATATACTTAGGACCCATGGAAGTGTTTAGCTTTTCTCCAAATCCTGTAAGATGGTACCCAATATTGTTTAAAATCTTTGAAACGTAATTGTTACTTATTGGCATCCTGACAAAGAAGATGCTGCTCAACTATCTAATCACTCACCTTTCATGCAACAATTTAACCAAGTGAAGATGATCTAAATATGATGCGATGGTTTTTAGAACACCTCAGTATTCTAGAATCAGGCTGTCTCCGGATGAAACATTTCTTCTTTTTTCTTTTGGAATAAGAGAAAAGAAAGAAGATGCCTTGAGGAACTCATGAGAAATGGTCTTTGGTTTATTTTAATACAGTAAAAACGTCTGGCAGCTTTACAGAGATTAGGGAGAAAATAATCTAACGAATGCTTGGTGTACATGTGTAAGAAAATCTGTTAGGAATAACACAAAATAAAAAGCTTAAAAATTTTCTTGTGACTCTAGTACATCAACTGATGGCCAAGCAAACTGTTTAAGCAACAGGTAAACTTTTAAAGATCACTGTTTTAAAGGTCACTGTTTCTTATTTTCTCACTTGTTTAAAGAGTTGCTGTCACTTCCCAAAAATCTTCACAGTATTAACTTAAACACACACACACACACCCAAGCAGGTTCCCCTCCCACCACATCCTGAATATATCTGAGTACAGCAGAAATCTACTTCATCTTATTTCCCTCTAGATTTCCTCAAATGCCAACACTGGCCCTTTCAGCTTTTTCTAGAATAAACTGCTCCATATCTAATTAATGTTCAACTCTCTCAGCATCTCGACTACGTCCAGTTCACTGCTCTCCAGCCTCAACAAATCTTCCATCCTTGCTTTCCTGGGAGTGAGCAGCCGTCTCATGGTTCCACTTCCTTCCTAACTCAGCCTTGATTCTGGGGTGCATCACTTCACCCTCTCTCTCTACCTGCTCCCTCAACACACCAGTGAGTGAGTGAGTGAGTGAGTGAGTGAAAAGTCGCTCAGTCGTGTCTGACTCTTTGCGACCCCATGGACTATACAGCCCATGGAATTCTCCAGGCTAGAATACTGGAGTGGGTAGCCTTTCCCTTCTCCAGAGGATCTTCCCAACCCAGTGATTGAACCCAGGTCTCCTGCATTGCAGGCGGATTCTTTATCAGCTGAGCCACAGGGAAACCCACCGGAGCCCTCCTCTTTCTAGTAATACTATCCTGCAGCCCCACTTGAAACGTGTTTTCTGAATGGATGAGGAAGCTGTGGTACATATACACCATGGAATATTACTCAGCCATTAAAAAGAATTCATTTGAATCAGCTCTAATGAGATGGATGAAACTGGAGCCCATTATACAGAGCAAAGTAAGCCAGAAAGATAAAGACCATTACAGTATACTAACACATATATATGGAATTTAGAAAGATGGTAACGATAACCCTATATGCAAAACAGAAAAAGAGACTCAGATATATAGAACAGACTTGTGGACTCTGGGAGAAGGCGAGGGTGGGATGTTTCAAGAGAACAGCATCGAAACATGTATATTATCTAGGGTGAAACAGATCACCAGCCCAGGTTGGATGCACGAGACAAGTGCTCGGGCCTGGTGCACTGGGAAGACCCAGAGGGATCGGGTGGAGAGGGAGGTGGGAGGGGGGACCGGGATGGGGAATACATGTAAATCCATGGCTAATTCATTTCAATGTATGACAAAAACCACTGCAATGATGTAAAGTAATTAGCCTCCAACTAATAAAAATAAATGGAAAAAAAAAAAAAAAAGAAACGTGTTTTCTGTGTTCCGACGCTTGGACAGCCAAAATGGGGGGCAGGGGACACAGATAAGCTGGGAGTGGGCTCCCAGAACGATCTCTGCTGTCCCTAATCATTTCTCTTATCACCCTCACAACAACTGCTCTGAACATCCACGAGCTCTGCCAAACGTCATACCCTCCCTTCATCCCTTTCAAATGATTTGTCTCTCACTTCGCTCAGAAAACGAAGCCTATGAACTCCTTCAACTTCTGCCCCCATATCTACAAGCAGGGATCGACTGAGGTATTGAGGGAAACAAATTGTATTCAGATAGTGGGGTAGGGGGAATTTCCTTTAAAAAAAAAAACTACATACAAAACCACAAATATCAAATTAGGTACCAAAATGAAAGTGATTTAGAATGAGAAAAGATACCACAATAAATTCCTGCAGTCTTAGAAATGTTGATACCTTTCTTCTGGGGTTTCATTAGGTAATCTGTCGGAAGTGCTTACAAAGAAATGCCTCGGGATTGTACTGATGTTCTTCCCTCCCTAAGACACAACAGCTCCTACTAATTCTGAGTACTGAAAAGTGCCCATGCGGTAAGGCACCCCCAAGCCCAAGATTCATCGTATCACAGGAAATCTACCCTGGCTGGTTTTCACGTCTTTACCTGCATCACCTTTTCCAGACTCCAAATGCACTTTTATCAGCACTGTTCTTTCCTATTTCTGAGGAAAAGGTCTCATCGTTTCTCACAGGGAAATGTACCATCTATGTTCTCATCTCTTTCACTTCCAAAGGGACCTTGATCCATTCATTAGCTTTCTCTGCTTTATCTTCACACACTCTTCTTCAGCTCCTTCTGCTCCTCCCCTCGAAGTACTGGATGTCCAGTGTTCTCCCATCAAAACACAAAAATGAACAAATACCTTGGGGGAGAAAAGTAAACCCCCAGTCTACCCAGTGCCCTCCACCACTTCTCTCACCTCCTCAAGTGGTGGAAGTCTCTGCATCCCCACAATAAACTGCTCTAAACATTCACACACTCTGCCAAGCCCCGACCTGACCTCCAATCCACTACCACTTCTCTTACCAACTGTACGTCCGTCACCTGCATTTCTTAAGATTCCTTCCCCAGTGTGTCTTCCTGCAACACTGGAATAGCCCTCCCCAGGGTCACCAGTGAGTGATATCTTTGCTGCGAAAGCCACTCTTCAGTCATGATCTTCCGGTCTTTGTCTGAAGCATTTGACTGCCCTCTCCTTCTCTCCTCTAGCTACTGGGACACCGGGTCTTTTCGTCTGATGCTCACATTTCTGGCCACTCCATCCCATTACTCACTTGACAAAACCTTACTGAGCACCTACCACCTGCCAGGATGGAAGCCTGAGCTGGGCCCTCAATGAGCTTACAGCTGGCCCTGCTGCCGCGGTGTGTGCATGCACGCCACATCGCTTCAGTCGCGTCCGACTCTCTGCGACCCAGGGCCCACCAGGCCCCTCTGTTCTTGGGATTCTCCAGGCAAGAATACTGGACTGGGTTGCCATGCTCTCCTCCAGGGGATCTTCCCAACCCAGGGATCGAACCTGAGGCTCTTACATCTCCAGCACCAGCAGGCGGGTTCTTTACCACCAGCGCCACCACCCAGTCCTTAAACCTTAGTGTTGCAGTGGGTTCCACCTACGGTCCTCTTTTTCCCTCATGCTATCTTCTCGTGCTAAGTAATTTCAGTGCTTTCATCAAAAAGTTTTACCTGTAAGCTTATGATTCCCAAACTTCTATAACTAATTCAAGTCTCTCTGCTAAGCTTCACACATATTCAGCTGCCTAATTCACATTTCCACTCAGAAGCACCACAAACACCCATGTCCAAAGTCAAATTACCATATTCCCAAATATCCCAAGACCATTTATTACCAAAACATAGTTTCCGCACTGATTAGAAATGACGCCTCCCTACACCGAGGTCTAATCCACCTAGGGTCCATTTCTGGAGAGTTTTGTTCCACTGGTATATTTGTCTAACTCTGCATCAGCGATACAATGCCTTTCCTAATTTCTATACCTTTAAAATAAGCCTTGATAGTTTCTAGGTAAGCACCCCGCCCCCATTCTTTTCACAATTATCTTGTCTATGGGGATTTTTATGGAACTGAATTGAATTTACAGACTTAATTTGGGAGCAGTGATGCTTTTGAACTGTGATGTTGGAGAAGACTCTTGAGAGTCCCCTGGACTGCAAGGAGATCCAGCCAGTCCATCCTAAAGGACATCAGTCCTGAATATTCATTGCAAGGACTGATGCTGAAGCTGAAACTCCAATACTTTGACCACCTGATGCAAAGAGCTGACTCATTTGAAAAGACCTTGATGCTGGGAAAGATTGAAGGTGGGAGGAGAAGGGGATGACAGAGGATGAGATGGTTGGATGGCATCACCGACTCGATGGACATGAGTTTGAGTAAACTCCGGGAGCTGGTGATGGACAGGGGGCCTGGGGGCCTGGCGTGCTGCAGTCCATGGGGTCGCAAAGAGTCGGACACAACTGAACAAATGAACTGAACTGAACTGATATCACATGGAGTCTCTCCATTCATGAAAAGTATATCTTCAATTCTTCTTTTAGATCTTTTGTAATTTTCTCCACAAAGGTCATGCATGGTTTTTCTTTGTCTCCTCATTTCATGGAAAATTTCAAATGTATACAAATGCGGAGAGAATAATAAAATGAACCCCTCATCACTCAGCCTCAAAATTTACCAACACAAGGTCAACCTTGTTTCCTCTACGCCTGCGCTATCCAAAAGAACTTCTGCATGATGGAGATTTCCTACTGCTAATGTGAAAATATGCTAATGATTGAGGAACTGTCATTTCACCTTTTACATTTTAATTACCCACGTATGGCTAGTGACTATAGTATTGAACAGTGCCATCTGTAACCCACATTCACTCCACCACCGTAACACTCAATTATTCTGAAGCAATTCCATGGTGTCATGTCATATTTAACCCTTACATACTATAGTATGCTTATGCTGAGAAAATTAACCGTCATTATTCCCCTCTCCAAAAAAATTCCTTAGTATCATCAAAAGTCCAATGAATGTTTTAATTATTTCATAAACTTTGGTTTTGCACCACTGGACTACTAGAATTTAGGGTCTAACCAAGGTCCATATTAGGTTGCTAATGTGCCTCTTTTTTAGAGCCACTTCATTTCTATAACTACTAATTTAGATTTTTTTAAATTGAATTAGTCTTGATAATATCTATTTTTCAAGAAAGTGGGAATTTAGGTTTTCAAAATCATGAACATAAAGCTATTCCTGCTTATTTCTATGATCTTTTTATCCGTAAAATTGCCTAACTTTTTTGTTCCTAGCATTATTTGGGTTTCTTCTTTTTTACTTTTCAGTTGTCTTCTAAAAATTTATTAATAGAAAATTTTATTTATTTATTTTCTTCATCTATTGGTTTTGCTGAGCATCTTTGTTTTATTTTGTTTTCTATTTCTGCTCTTCACTATCTTCTTTCTTTCTTTGGATTTACCCTGTCCTTTTCTTAACTTCTTCAACAAAACTTAATATACTATGAGTATTTCTTGCTGTCTCATAAGTGCATTTAAGACCATAAATTCCCCTCTAGTTTTGCTTTACTTCAAATTCACAAGTCCTGACATTTCTACTGTGTGTGTTTAGACACTTCAGTCGTGTCCAACTCTCTGCGACCCCATGGACCATGGCCTGCCAGACTCCTCTGTCCATGGGATTCTCTAGGCAAGAACACTGGAGTGGGTTGCCATTTCCTTCTCCAAATCTGACCTGAGACAAGACCTCCTCTAATCTGTGATTGTTTAGCTCTGTTTCCAGTCTTTAAACATGAAATTTCTAAAGATTATCTCTTCACTGTGCTAGATGGCATAGATTCTTTGGAATTATGAAGATTTCCTTTGCCACCTAATTGCAACCAATACTTATAAAAGCATCATATAAACTTATTCTTTGTTATGGGCAAAATTTAGTATATCTATTATAGCAAGCTCATGAATTTTGTTGTTAAAAAGTTTCTATGGCCTTACTAAATTTTATCTGCATGACCTTCTAGTACCTCAGAGAGGTTTTTCAAAATTCTCATACTGGCTTCTTGATTTATCAGATTCCCCTTAGACTTGTCCATTATTTCTTTAAATTATTTATTCATTCAACAAATACTTGGGC